ATAGAATGGGGGAAAACAGAGATCTGTTCAATGAAATTGGAGATATGAAAGGAACATTTTGTACAAAGATTACCATAATAACGGACAAAAGTGGTAAGGACCTAACAGAAGCAGAAAACATCAAGAAGAGGTAGCAAGAATACACAGAGGAATTATACCAGAAAGATATGGATGTCTCGTACAGCCCAGGTAGTGTGGTTGCTGACCTTGAGGCAGACATCCTGGAGAGTGAAGTCAAATGGGCCTTAGAAAGCACTGCTAATAACAAGGCCAGTGGAAGTGATGATATTTCAGCTGAACTATTTAAAATATTAAAGATGATGCTGTTAAGGTGCTACACTCAATATGGCAGCAAGTTTGGAAAACTCAGCAGTGGCCAGAGGATTGGAGAAGATCAGTCTACATCCCAATCCCAAAGAAGGGCAGTGCCAAAGAATGCTCCAACTACCGCACAATTGCACTCATTTCACACGCTAGCAAGGTTATGCTTAAAATTCTACAAGGAAGGCTTAAGCAGTATGTGGACCGAGAACTCCCAGAAGTGCAAGCTGGATTTAGAAGAGGCAGAGGAACCAGAGACCAAATTGCAAACATGCGCTGGATTATGGAGAAAGCTAGAGAGTTCCAGAAAGACATCTACTTCTGCTTCATTGACTATGCAAAAGCCTTTGACTGTGTCGACCACAGCAAACTATGGCACGTTCTTAAAGAAATGGGAGTGCCTGATCACCTCATCTGTCTCCTGAGAAATCTCTATGTGGGACAAGAAGCTACAGTTAGAACTGGATATGGAACAACTGATTGGTTCAAAATTGGGAAAGGAGTACGGCAAGGCTGTATATTGTCTTCCTGCTTATTTAACTTATATGCAGAATTCATCATGCGAAAGGCTGGGCTGGATGAATCCCTAGCCGGAATTAAGATTGCCGGAAGAAATATCAACAACCTCAGATATGCAGATGACACAACCTTGATGGCAGAAAGTGAGGAGGAATTAAAGAACCTTTTAATGAGGGTGAGAAAGGAGAGTGCAAAATATGGTCTGAAGCTCAACATCAAAAAAACGAAGATCATGGCCACTGGTTCCATCACCTCCTGGCAAACAGAAGGGGAAGAAATGGAGGCAATGAGAGATTTTACTTTCTTGGGCTCCATGATCACTGCAGATGGTGACAGCAGCCACGAAATTAAGACGCCTGCTTCTTGGGAGAAAAGGACTGACAATCCTAGACAGCATCTTAAAAAGCAGAGACATCACCTTGCCAACAAAGGTCCGTATAGTTAAAGCCATGGTTTTCCCAGTAGTGATGTATGGAAGTGAGAGCTGGACCATCAAGAAGGCTGATTGCCGAAGAATTGATGCTTTTGAATTATGGTGCTGGAGGAGACTCTTGAGAGACCCATGGACTGCAAGAAGATCAAACCTATCCATTCTTAGGGAAATCAGCCCTGAGTGCTCACTGGAAGGACAGATCCTGAAGCTGAGGCTCCAAGACTATCTCATGAGAAGAGAAGATTCCCTGGAAAAGACCCTGATGTTGGGAAAGATGGAGGACACAAGGAGAAGGGGACGACAGAGGACGAGATGGTGGGACAGTGTTCTCGAAGCTACCAGAATGAGTTTGACCAAACTGCGGGAGGCAGTGGAAGACAGGAGTGCCTGGCGTGCTGTGGTCCAGGGGGTTACGAAGAAGCGGACACAACTGAACGACTAAACAACAACAAACATCCATTGTGGGAAAGAAAAGAAAGAAGATGAAACCAGTGGTGTGTCTACCTGAATGTAATATAATAATAATAATAATAATGTGTAAAGAAGAAACCAATCTTCAAATCAGTTTCATATTCCATGGCCAGGGATGATGGGAGTCTTATCTGGGGGGACACACTTTTTCCCCTTCCTCCCTCCACCCCCGAGGGTCCCCTTTCCCCAGGGGCCCCCCTGGCCGGCTCAGCCTTCCTGCCAAATCTCTCCCCATCCCAGGAGGGAGACGGGGGTGGGGGAGAGGTCTCCACCCCGGCCTCTCTTGCCCCCATTAACCCTTCCATGGACTCCCCAGTCTCTCCCTGCCCCCAATATATAGATATATTTCGCACCTCTTTTCCTTCCTCCTCAGCAGAGCTGCTCCTCTTCCGGGAATGTGGATCAGGCCCCTCCCCTCCCCCTTGCCCCCTCCAAACCTCCCTGCCTCTCTAGGAAGCGGAGCTCACTGACCCGAGTGGAGGAATGAGTGGCCCCTCCCTCCCAGGACAGACAAATTCTCCTTCCAAACAAGCTCTGTTTTCTTGATTCTTTCCTGAGAGGGTCCTGGGTTCGATCCCCGGAGACAGCAGGGAAAGAGACCCACCCCCACCTCCGAAAAAGTCCTCAGGGGCAGGAAGGTGACATTCCCCCTTCATCTCTTTTAATCCCTTGCCGGGAGAGGGGGGGGGGGTCCGGTCAGTTTCACACCCATTTCCCCGACGGGGGGGAGGCAGGGCCGGGGCGTAGGGTGTCCCTGTTACAACAGCCCTGCAAAGTAGACTGGAGTTGCTACACACTTTTGGGACTTAGAGAGTAACTTAAAGCTAATGGGACCCCTGACCATTAGGTCCAGTCGTGGCCGACTCTGGGGTTGCGGCGCTCATCTTGCTTTATTGGCCGAGGGAGCCGGTGTACAGCTTCCGGGTCATGTGGCCAGCAGGACTAAGCCGCTTCTGGCGAACCAGAGCAGCGCACGGAAACGCTGTTTACCTTCCCACCAGAGCGGTACCTATTTATCTACTTGCACTTTGACCTGCTTTCGAACAGCTAGGTTGGCAGGAGCAGGGACCGAGCAACGGAAGCTCACCCCGTCATGGGGAGTAAAACCTTCTAATCAGCAAGCCCTAGGCTCTGCGGTTTAACTCGCAGTGCCACCCGCGTCCCTGGAGAGTAACTTACGGCAACCGTAAAGGGCAGTCCAGTGTCGTCCTTACGGGGGCCTCTTTTAAATAGGGGCTGGTGTTTGAACTTGGGCTTTGCTAAGGTTACGGAATTGGCAGGGGGGCACTTGTGTGAGAGCAGGTTTCTTTGGCCGTCTCCCCCTTCCTTGCTTGCCCCTTCTGCTTTCCCATGGCAAATGCAGCCGAATTCGGCTATGGCGTGTGGTGCATATCTCTGCCTTCAGACGGAGGGAGCCAGGCAGCTTTCTGGGTCATGTGCCCAATTTTTCATGAGCTGATATTAAATCCCAACTACAGCTGCTTGTTACAGAGGGTGGGGGCAGATTCCGGTAGGTTTATGATATTAACTCTTTCCATGCTCATTTCTGATGCTCAGAAGCAGGTGCACCCTTTCCTAGACCTTCCTATACCTTCTAAAATACACTGAGACTATCTTATAACATATCCCCGCTATAACACACAAGTTCTAATTAAATCCTAATATTTACTATGCCTAAACATTGAGCACCACAGACTAATAATAATAATAATAGTAATAATAATTTATTATTTTTACCCTGCCTATCTGGCTGAGTTTCCCCAGCCACTCTGGGCGGCTCCCAATTGAGTGTTAAAAACAATACAGCATTAAATATTAAAAACTTCCCTAAACAAGGCTGCCTTCAGATGTCTTTTAAAAATAAGATAGCTGCTTATTTTCTTGACCTCTGATGGGAGGGCATTCCACAGGGCGAGCGCCACTACCCAGAAGGCCCTCGGCGCTGGATCTCAGTGTCCAGGTTGAACGATGGAGGTGGAGACGCTCCTTCAGGTATACAGGACTGTTTTCTGCTGTAGACTGCCTCCTGCGATCTATTCCTGCTGTAGACTGTCTCCTTCTGTATGATATTGGGGGGGGGGATGGTCTTGGGTGGGCAATTTCAAAAGACTATATAAGGCCTTGCACACCTCCCTGCTGGTTGTGGTGAGGGGGGGGCACTGTTGCAATAAAGATCAGGCTTACTAGCCGCTTTGCTTCCCATATACTCTGGTTGGCCTCTGTTATTTTCTCCTACCAATATGGAACCCACTTAAGGACTATATGGGCTCTTGGATACCCCATAAGGGGAAAGGAGCAGGTTTTCCTTATAACAAAGGTCGTAAGACTATGTTTGGTTGGCACGCTTATTTATGGCAGGATAAAACTAAAACACACAAGAGCTCTATGAATCAGGTTATTCAGAAAATCCTTTTTACAGTATGAGATGACTCTGCTGGAAAGAAAAACACCTCTTTGGCTTTTACCCACAAAAGCAACAGCTTTTTAAAAAATGCAATAGGGAAGAAGCAATGGGCAACTTACAGAGATCTTTTGGACTTTACGGAAGAAGAAATAAAACTGAATAAACAGGATGAGGTGGGAGGTGTGGTGGCGGATTGGTTTCAATACCATCAAATCATCTTGTTTGGACAAGATGAAGGGAGAGGTTTTTGGACTGAAAGTTCACAGTTTGAAAGAGATATTATTGAGAGAAAAGAGAAAGTGTTTCCCAAATTTCAGGTAGAAAATTGTCCAATCTGAAGAAGTGTGCATGCACACGAAACCTTATTCCCAGAACAAACTTAGTTGGTCTCTTAGGTACTGCTGAACAATTTTTTAAAAAAACTTTCCAAAATGTATGAGATACTATTAGAATGGGAAGCAAAATAAAACTGGTAAAATCTGCAATGATACACTGGGCCAGAAATTTAGGTCATAATTAGAGCTGGGCTTGATGTTAATGTGCTAATTGTTTCCTAATATTTGAGCTGACATTATATCGCAAATCCAATGTGTATAAGGACTAGGAAATATCTGATTTTCAATATCGTGATAACTCGTCAGCTAACAGTTGCAGTGTTCTCACCAGCTAAACCTCACAATATGACCTGCTAAACGTTGCCATGTTATCAGCAGCTAAAGATTGCAATCAGGGTGGATACAATCAGTGATTTTTTTAAAAAATAAAAATCGGATTTTTTTATTTAAATCAGAATTTTTTTTATTTTAATCAGAATTTTTTTAAAAATAAAATGATTTTAGAGGAATTTTTTTTCTAAAGATAGTTTTATATTTAATTACATTATAGTCCAAAGGCTATTCATCAGGAAATAAGGATTTGTTTTTAATTATCAAGCATGAGGCTTTATATGCAATATTTAATTTTTTGGGTAAATGAATTCCATTAATCCATTCACAATGTCATGCTCTTCCAGAGGTTTCTGTAAGATTATTTGGGGAAGTTTTTCTAATGAGAAGATATTGTCACAGATGCTTGTTTTTGCCATTCTCAAAAGTGTGAATTTGTGTATCTGCAGAGATAACATGCCTTTTCTTCACAGGAAAAATGTTATAAAATAAACATACAGAGTTGACGGAAAACCTTAATCCCATTGTTCCTTTGCAGATTTATATACACAGAATTAACCCCTTAAATTCTAAGTTCCAAGAGGTTCAATGAATAGATGGTTTGCAGTGGAAGAGATCTGCGCAAGTAGCTAAGTGTGAAGCAGTAAAAATGAAAGTGCAACCTTGTGAGCAGAATACTCCACACATCTTGGGGTCTTTGTGTAATAATTGTGCAAGTCAGACTTGAGGCAAGCGCTGAAGGCTCTTCAGGGCTGGCAACCTCTTCCCAATCCCACTGGGTTCCAACAACCGCACTAACACTTAACTGTACAGAATAGGCACCTGAATGCAGAAGCCAATCCAAAGGGGTGGCTGGTAGTGGAGGTGGTGAAATGCTTAAGTTCTGAGTTTTTCATGTGCGCTAAAACTCAGTCTGCTTGGCTGTTTTTTATTAAAAAAATATGTTTACCAACATGCTATAATATTATTGTTTTAGTTAAATAAATTGTTTAAGTTGTTATTAAGGAAATGATTATTTTTCTCCTTCCAATAAATTACAGCAGAAATGTTGTCCAAATATAGACAGTTAACTTATTAAACCTCAGAATGATTTCATAATTATCTGTCTATGTATTTCTAATAGTGTAACCAAATCGGAAATTTTTTATTTAAATAGAATCATACTGACTAGTGATTTATTGTAAATTGTGATTGAAATCAATTTGATTTATATCAAACCCACCCTGATTGCAATCTACCACAATGTCTGAAATAAGGCTGGAACTATACAGAGGCGAACAGGACAATGTCCTGGCAACGGCTACTACTTAGGGGTCTAAAACGGGTAAATGAAAATATTATCAATCCTCACACACTCAGTTTCATCAGCAGGCAAGCCAAGATGCATCCTAGCAGGACTTTTGGGTTTCCGCTAGGCTATAATTGGTGGTATTCAGGACAATCCAAAGTATGGAGATGAGTCGTAGTGAATACAGATGATCTGGGACAGCCAACACCCTCAGCAGGGAGGCTGGGTGATGGGGGGGTCAGGGGTGCTGGAAGGGGAGGGGTCTCTGTCGAGGCTCCTCTCCCTTCCATGGACTCCCTCTCTCCGTTTCCCCAGCCAAAAGGGACCCAGCCAGGCGCCCCACGACCTCAGGGATTCCTGGGGACAAACTGCTAAAATCAGCAGTGATACACTGGGTCAGAAATATAGGTCATAATTAGAGCTGGGCGATATATTGGTATATTGCCCAAGACTGGCTTGAAGTTTACATCGTGATAACTGTTTCCTAATACTGAGCTGGCAATATATTACGAATCACAATGTGTGCAAGGGCTAGGCAACACCTGCTTTTCAACATTGCGATAACTTACCAGCTAAACGCTGTAATGTTAGTAGCAGCTAAACCTCACAATATCACCTGCTAAACGTTGCCATGTTATCAGCAGCTAAACATTTAAATCAGCCACAAGGTCTGAAATAGGGGTGGAACTGTACAGAGGAGAGCAGCACAATGTCCTTGCAATTGCTACTACTTAGGGGTCTAAAATGGATAAATGACAATATTATCAATCATCATCTCAGCGGGACTTTTGGGTTTGGGCTTGGCTAGCAAATGGTGGTATTCAGGACAATCCTGTATGGCAATGATGATCTGGGACTGCCAGCAGGGAGACTGGGGAATAAGTGGTGCTGGAAGGGGAGGGGTCTCTGTCGAGGCTCCTCCCCCTTCCATTAACCCTTCCCTGGACTCCCTCTCTCCCTTTCCCCAGCCAGGCGCCCCACGACCCCAGGGAGAATGGGGGGCCTCAGCCCCACCCCCAGCCCTGCTTGGGGTCCTCCTTCCCCTTCCCGCCAAGGCCTCCAGGGGGGGCAGGGCAGCTGAGCATCTCTCGGCCCCCCAGGAAAGAGAAAGGGAGTCTGGCGGTGCTGCTGCTGCCCAGGAGATCTTGCAAGGCCAGCCCTGCAGGTGTTGGGTCCCCCCTTCCCACCTGGGTCGCCTGGATCGGGGCCCCTGTCGACGGGCCCCAGGGAGGGCGCTTTCCTTGGGGGGGGTCTCTTTGTCCTCCCCCCTTATCCCCCCCTCTATTTCCCCCCCTTCTCTCCCTCTTTACCTCTTGGTCCTCCGCCTCCCTGGCTCCAGATTACTCCGCTTTCCTTGTCTGCAATAGAAAGGGCTGGGGAGGGGTTTTCTCCACTGACGCCCCTCCTCCCCTTTCCTGGAAACTTCCGGCACATTAAGCAGCGACACTTCCGGTTCCTTTTGGGATGCGCTTGCCCCTAGAGCTACGTCCATAGAGCAGCCTCTCCCTGTGTTGGGATGGGAAGCGGACGGGACGGCGCTGCCTCTGGGGGCTCCATGGGGGCCTGGCCCCCCTCCTTCCTCCTCCCCACAGCAGGGGGCGAGATGGCTGCGGGGGGGCATCATATCTGGGGGTGACCTGGGTTTGCGGGGAGAGAAGGACGTGGTTTTCAATCTGCAAACAGGGAGGTTGGGAGGGGAGAGGCTGAATGAGAAGGAGGGAAGGGCTGCCCCTCCCCCTGTGGGTCAGGAGAGTGGGGGAGGGGCTGAGCCAGGGGGGGGTCCTTTGTGAAGCCCAGAGATGGACCCAGCCTGGGGGGGGGGGAAGAGACATGGGGCTGCCTGAGAGAGAAGGGGCGCTTCCTTTCCTCTCCCCCCTCCTCCCCACAGGCTCTCCTGCGCCCAGAGACCCCCTTGGCCCGGCTGCCCCCTCGCCAGGCAGGGAGAGGGTGGGGTCCCCTTCCGCCATGAGAGGAGTGCAATGGGGTTGTGAGGGGGAGAGAGAGAGACCCCTTTCTGCTCCCCTCACAAGAGGGTCCCCGTCGTGTCTCTGAGGGGCAAGAGAGGAGGAGCCCCTCCCCCCCCCGCTGCTTCTTCCCCTCAACGACTTTTCCCGCCTTTTCCCAACTTCCCGCCCTTCGAAATCTGAGCCTCGCCTCAGTTTCAGGCGCCGAGGAGGCAGATTCCCCGGGCTCCCTGCTTTATTAGTGGATTTCTTCTCATTCGCCCTGATTCTCTAGAAAGAAGGCTGTATAAAAAGCCCCTCACCACTGCCTGCATCCCATACAGTATGTAAAAGTCTGATTTCTTCCCATTTGCTGTGTATAATTCTTCCACCAGGACTGTTCTTCCTTCCTGGCTTCCAAACTAATAATTCTTCCCTCACTGTCCTTAAATAGCTGCTTGGGGTCTAGTTTGGGGCCTGCATAAAGAACCTCCTCTCTCTTTTCCTTTTAGCTGTAGGTATAAATTCATGGCCAAAAGCCTTATTGATACACAATTTTCCATCCGATGCCTGCTTACTCGGAAGTAAGTCCTACTCTGCTCCCATGTGCGGAGCTAGCAGTTCAGGCAGTTCTGCTGGCAGGAGGCCAAAGGACCCAGAGTGGTTTGCAACCAGGGTGCTTTCCAAATGCTGCCCTTTTTGATACGTTTCCATTTATTCTTTTGCGTGGGGACTGGCCAGATTGAACCCCCCCCCCCATTCAAAAGAAAGACTTGCAAAAGATTTCAAAGGCGGAATTTCCAAAAGATGGCACTTTGTCCTGAATTTAAGACAAGTCAGTCGAAAAATCATGGGCTTTTTTGGCGTTTATTTGGGGCCTTGTCTAAAAAAAAGCTCTACAGTTTTGAGGGTGTCCTGGTTTTTACTTTTTGAAATATGGCAACACTAATTATTCTGGGCTCTGCTTGAACTGAAACTCCCTTTTAGAGCACAGCCGGTAGAGCATGAGACTCTGAATCTATGGGTCGTGGGTTTGAGCCCCACGTTGGGCAAAATATTCCTGCATTGCAGGGGGCTGGACTAGATGACCCTCGTGGTCCCTTCCAACTCTGCAATTCTAGGATTCTACCATGTGTAGAGGAAAGATCGCCCTCTTGTGGGCAGTGGAGGAATGATGTAATGTTGGTTGGTGGGAACTGTTCTTGAGTGTTGCCTTGTCACACACATGCAACACCACAACAGTCCTGTGAAAGGAAGGGGGAGCATTTCTGCAGGCTGATGTCCATCCATCCAGCTGCCCAGGCCCCAGCACCTCCCCCTAACAGTGAAGGGTCCCAGTCTGGAAATCCTCCCTTCCTGCTGGAGATGAGGCAGTGAGGGATCCAGACAGACAGAGGCGCCCTTGCTCTGGAATTCCCTTGCCAGCAGGGAGACTTCAAAAGCCCCCCCCCAATGCCTCCCCCTTCCCTCATTTAGTATGGAGACTTTTCATCTTGTGGTTTGGTCATTTTAAATCCAGTTTTTCTCTCTCTCCCTGCAATTTTAAGCAATTCTGGCTCTTATGATCCCTGCCGGGTATTAAGTGTTGTTCTAACCTCCTTATTGCAGGTGGAAAGAGGAATGTGGGGCTTGCTTATAATATCTTAGGGTGGCAGGATTAAGATTTGGGACTGGGACTTTCAGATTCAGAGCCCCTCTTCGCATGAAATTTTTTCCAACTATTGGAGGAAAGTATGTCTGAGGTTTATGACAGAAATATAATTATTACGGGTGAATTTAATGGAGTAGTATCACTGGACTATGACAGAACACTGAGGGAAAGTATCTCAAAAGAAGGCAAAATACCAAATACTTTTTTGATATGGTTACAACTGTGGATCCACTAGATCAGGGGTCAGCAAACTTTTTCAGCAGGGGGCCAGTCCACTGTCCCTCAGACTTTGTTGGGGGCCAGACTATATTTCGGGGGGAAATGAGCGATTTTCGCCCGCCCGCAAAGAGGCCTGAAGATGTTTGGCTTTACCTGTCCCAGTTGTCGTCCCAATAGCCCCAGTTGGGCTTCTCCAGCCAGGTGCCAGGGCAGGGTAGGAGGCTGCGTTGGCCGGTGAAGACAGAAGCAGCAGCCCCGGCGGAGCCGCGGACGGAAGTAAGGGAAATGGGGCGTTGCTGGAGCTTTTACTCACCACCTGCTGCTGCTGCTTCCTGAGAAGCACAGCGGAGAAGACAGAGCCACCCGCCAACCCGCAAGCGGCCGCTGCAACAAACCGCCTGAACGCCATGGGAAGAAAGATAAAGGGAGGGGGTGATGAAGAAAGCGTGTGAGGAAGCGGTGCGGAGAAGGTGCGCAGAAAAGGAAGGAAGGGCAGACGGAGAGGGAGGAGGAGCAGGAGGAAAACTCAGCAGCAGCCTGTGGGAGCCATGAAGTCATGGCAAAGGCTTGTAGCGCCACCTGGTGCCTCGCTGACCTCGGTGACCTGCATGTCCGTGCCTTGCAGTGTATTAAGTGCATAACCTTATATGGAGTTATGTTCCCCCTCTGGGCAGTAATTACCTTATATGGCGATGGGTGGGTAAAAGCCATGACCGGATGAGGTAACGTGAGACATTGGCAAATGGCCATGCGAGAGGGGAGAACAAAGGAGAATAAAATCGGGGGAGAAGCGGACGAAGGAGCTGCTCTTACCTTCCTGAAAATATAGATGGCTCACTGTGTCTTTATTTTATGCTAAGCACCATTTAATGACGGCTGGAAATCCGTCAAGTGGTACCCTGTGTGAGGCTGACTAAAAGAATACGTCTGAGGCTTTTAAAAGAAAACCGTGTGAGGTTTTTCGATCCACGCAATGGATATCATTGGCTCACCACGCCCAGCAAGGGTTGCAAGCGCTACACATCTTAAAAAGATCCCGGTGAGTTTGATCCCTTTTATCTTGATTTTTGAAAAATGGGCAGCTCTTTGTCTACTCCCCAACAGAAATTTTTAAAAGACTTAAAATTTCTCCTCTCCTCCAACAAATTGGAAGTTCCTGAGGGTGATTTGATACAGCTTATTCTGGCCATCGATGAGCATTCCCCCTGGTTTCCTGAAGATGGGACTTGGGAATTAAAACATTGGGATAAGATTGGAGCACATTTCCACGGACACCCTAGCATTGGCGTTCGCGTTCTGAATGCATGGTGCAAGGTTCGTTACACCACGGGCTCTTTATCACCCAAAAATATCTCCATGGCTGCATTGCCAACACAACCTCCGGCTTCTTTAGTCCAGCCTGCTGTGTTAGCATCTGTTCCGATACTTGCCTTGCCAGCAGCGCCAGACCCCAAACCTCCGGACTACAGTTCCTCACCAGAGGACCCAATCCTGCAAAAATACCGTGGTCTGGCTGGCAATGATCCTACTCTTTCAGCGGCAGAACCAGCTACCCCTTTTCAACGTGCAGTCCTTGCCCGTTCCTTAATTCAGGATACTATGGCATTCCATGTTATTGTGCCCCCTGCTGGTGCCCCGGCAGGCACCCAAGCCCAACACCAACCTTTTGACTTTAAGATCTTGAAAGAGCTGCAGCAGTCAGTAAAGACCAATGGACTCCAAGCCCCATATACGCAGGCGCTTTTAGAAGCCACATTAGCCCAGCTCTTGGTTCCAGATGACATCAAGCTTTTGGCCCATACAGTGTTACCCCCATCAGCTGGTGTTTTGTTTGCCCACGAATGGGAAACTGCCTGCCGTGCTTATGCTCCGGCTTTGTTACAACAAATCAGAGGAAATAATCCAAATATTACCCTCGCAGACGTCATAGATGCCATGATGGGGCGTGGTCCCTTTGCTCAGGCTTCAGTGCAAGCCACACTGCTGCAAATCTTATTGAGGGACACCGCTCTTGCTGCTAAACAAGCAATGAGAAAAATCCCAGAACCCACCAGTATTCAATCAAGGTGGGGTTCAATCAGGCAAGAGGCAAGAGAATCATATTCTTCCTTTATGGACAGGCTGCTTACAGCAGTGAGTCGCCAAATTGAAAATCCTGAAGCCAAACAAATAATTATCAAACAATTGGCCTTTGAAAATGCCAATGAGGATTGTAAGGTTGCGTTACGACCGATAATACACAATCCTGCCACAGACACAGCAGCCATGCTTCGCATTTGTCAGTCTGTAGGTATAGCCACCCACAAGGCTCATCTGCTGGCAGCAGCGCTAAATAAAAACCAGCCTGTAGCCACCGATAAAACTTGTTTCCAGTGTGGCAAACCAGGACACTTTAAGGCGCAATGTAGATCCACGCAACAGCCTAGGCGTCCTTCTACCAAATGTCCAATCTGCAAAAAAGGCTTTCATTGGGCCAATCAATGCAGATTGCTTCCCCAAAACCAACAGCAGGGTCAGCACACTGCCCGAAATCAGCAAGAAAATCAGCAGGGAAACCGGCAGCCGGGCCCACCCCGGGCCCAGACAAATCAATAGGGGACCCCCCGGAGTCCAGGGTAACAGCACCACGGCTTCGCCTGACTCAGGACGTGGAATTCCATTTGCCTTTCTGCCCTTTAAAGACTCATGTTCTCACTGAAGCAGGGTTAGACAATCATGCCACTTGTCTGGTATTACCTTTATTATCCACGCAAGCAGCAGGAATTCATGCGGTACCGATGCTAACACACGGACCATATGTGAATTTCCCTGAGATCACGCTATATGCGGATCGTCCATGCAGAATACAGTCAAATACTTCAGTGGCGAAGATTATCATTTCCCCCCCATCCGAACAACTACCCCTAATTGCAGCAGCCATGAACATTACAGCCTCGCGCCCTTCTGTGTCTCTGACCGTGGGAGGTCGACGCATTGAAGGAGTTCTGGACACAGGGGCGGATGTAACAGTCGTGGCAAAATCTGCTTGGCCTTCCAGTTGGCCCACCTGTCCAGCCACACAAGTTATTGGTGTGGGAGGTGAATCACAGGCACGGCGCAGTCTCCACCCAATACTCATCCAAAGCGATAGCGGGGTTCAGATCACCCTCTATCCATTAATAATGGACATTCCAGTCTCCTTATGGGGGCGCGATATTTTGGCTATTGCAGACACCAAATTGGAGTCAAATTTATTCTAAGGGCCGCCCCTGCACTTCCACGCACTGCACTGCCGTTACGATGGATTACCACTACCCCAGTATGGGTAGAACAGTGGCCTCTACCAAAAGAAAAATTAGCAGCGGCGGTCCAGCTTATTTCTGAACAATTGACCCTTGGCCACATTGAACCGTCCTCATCTCCCTGGAACTCCCCAATTTTCGTTATTAAGAAAAAAGCAGGCAAATGGCGTCTTCTGCAGGACATGAGAAAAATTAACCAACAAATACAGCCAATGGGAACCTTACAACCTGGCATGCCAAATCCAAATATGCTCCCACAAGAATATCAGTTGGCGGTGATTGATTTAAAGGACTGTTTTTTTTCTATCCCACTGGCTCCAGCAGACAGGGAACGGTTTGCTTTTACATTGCCAGTATATAACAATTTGCAGCCCACCCAGCGATATCAGTGGGTTGTCCTGCCTCAAGGCATGCGGAACTCCCCTACACTTTGTCAACATTTTGTGGGTGAAGCATTGAAACCTTTCCGCATGCGCCACCTAGAGGTTATATGTTATCATTTCATGGATGACATTTTAATCGCTGCTAAGGAACTCCCGCCTGGCATTTTTCAAGAACTTTCTGCCACATTAGTGGAAGCGGGACTCTGTATAGCGCCTGAAAAAATTCAATTGACGTTGCCCGCCACCTACTTGGGACATAAAGTCTCTGCACAAGCAGCGCTGCCTATTGTTCCCCAACTGACTATCCCTTCAAGCATGAAGCTTGTGCAATTACAACAACTTCTTGGGCATTTGAATTGGGCTCGCTCTTTCCTTGCATTACCTACCAGCACATTATCACCATTGTTCTCAGCGCTCGCAGAACACAAGGATCCAGCAGATGTAATCCAGGTCACTTCGGCAATGATCACTGCATTACAAACCGTTAATCAGCACCTGCGATCTATTCTCGTGGACAGGATCACAGAAGCCTCTGCACACGAGCTGCATCTGGCAGTGTTTGCTACACCGTTGTTGCCAACAGGAATTTTATATGCTCAGACGGAAAAGAGGAAGACTATCTGCATTATAGAATGGCTACATTTACCGCACACCCCACCAAAAAACATTTATTCCGTAATTGAATCCACATCAGACATTGTTATCAAAGGACGTTCATGTGCCATGGCCTTGAGCGGTTCTGATGTTGCATCAATATATCTGCCTTTCTCACAGACTGAACAGCAGCACTTATTCATAACTAATGCTGCCGTGCAAACTGCTTTGGCTGATTTTATAGGTGTCATCATTTTTAACCCTCCAAAGGATGACCGTTTGACATTTCTGACACAGGTCACCTATGTTTTGGCTACCCCCTTGTCTCTCACACCTCTCCCCTCTGCATTGACCCTTTTCACGGATGGAACAAGAAGTAGGGGGGTAGTGACATGGGAGGAGGGAGGAAAATGGAAATGTTTATTTACCCCTCCACAGTCCTCTGCTCAGCGAGCTGAGCTAGCGGCTGTGATTCTTGCCTTTCGATCCTTTCCTACTCAACCTTTCAATCTTATTGTGGATACTCAGTATGTATATCGCCTTTTTGCTATTTTACCAATATCTTATATAACTCCTTCCTTGGATTCTGACTTGTTTTCCTTGTTTCTTGCCCTGCAGGCCTTACTTCAGCACAGAGAGTTCCCTTATTATGTTGCACATCTTCGCTCCCACACATCGCACCCAGGGTATTTAGCAGAGGGCAATGCAAGAGCAGATGCGGCTTTGAGGGACATTTCTGCCTTTTCTCTCTTTTCTGATCCTATACTATGTCATAACACCTTTCACCTTCCTGTGAAAGCATTGGCAAAGCAGTTTTCTATTCCCTTGGCCCAAGCAAGGGATATAGTTTCCCAATGTGCTTCTTGTTCTAAATCTCAGCTGGCCATTCCTTTTGATGCTGTCAATCCTAGGGGCACGTCTGCATTGGCGTGTTGGCAGATGGATGTCACACACACACCTGTGTTGGCTCCACTCTCCAAGGTTCACCTCACGGTGGACACCCACTCTGGATTCATATGGGCTACGCCCATGAGGGGAGAAACAGCTCGGCATGTCATTCAGCACACTATCCGCTGTTTCTCAGTCATGGGTAAACCTGCGCGTATCAAAACTGATAATGGTCCAGCGTATATTTCTAAAATATTTTCAGAATTTTGTATGTTGTGGAATGTGAAATTAACTCATGGTATACCCTTTAACTCCACAGGGCAAGCGATAGTGGAAAGAGCACACCTGACGTTCAAAACACTATTGCTTAAACAGCTTGGCGGCCGAAGCATACCAACAGCAGATATCCCTTCAGCAGTTCACCAAGTTCTTTTATATCCACATCTTAGGACCCATACCCCCCTGAATTGCATTTTAGGAAGGAGGAGGCACTCCCCCGCCCCTTGGTGGTGTACCGACGCTTGCCTGATCCCGCGTGGCATGGACCTGTCCCGCTGATCACGTGGGGATGAGGGTACGCGGCAGTGGACGTTGAGGATAAGCCTTTGTGGGTTCCAGCTCGATGCGTGCGGCCATGGTGAGCCTCCTCAACCGCGGAAGCGCCTTCCTAACCATTTGCCTTGCCATCCTTTGCTGCACCGTTATACAAGGAAGAGAAGCAGACGACCCAGTCCAGTTGAAACCACCATATTTCACCTTATCGGCTGGCAAGCAGCTGTTGTCAGCTTCCTACTCTGGCTGGCAGTATCCACGGCTCAGCCACTCTCGAACTAGAAGAACAGTATTGTTGAATAAGACTTTTAGGGGAGAAAATTATCATAAGATATGGAGGGATAATATTTTTGTACAAGATATGATTATGTTTACCGGTTTATTACATGCTTCTAAATGTTGGTTGTGTATGCACATGCCCCCTTTGCCAGTCATTCCGGCATAATGCTTCGTGGTGTGCCTGTCAATGGATCTTTTCAATTTACTCATATTATATCCCCTAAGCAAACTTTTTGGCCTCCAGTACAATTGACCCTCCATGAGCCTGCCCCCATTTGTTTTCAAATTAAAGAGGGGAAAGAATCATGGGGCATATATCCAAACTGTCAATATACATTGAATTTCACTTTTAATAGCTCTTGTTCTCTTACAGGAACATACAGTGACCAATCTCAGTGCTATAGAAGCGATATCAGTGCATGGCTAAAAACTAGGAAAGAAACCTACCATGCAAATTGGAGTCTGAATTCTTCTATCCCTGGCTTAGCAAATGCCACAGATGAGCAATTTCATATCAGTTCATTATTTACTGCAGCCTTTAATTGGTCCCAACAGAGTAGTAATATCAGCTATTTACTCCAAAGAGAGTTATGGTTGCTTTGTGGCGAAAAAGCATACAAATCCATTCCTCGAAACCTCACAGGCACATGTACATTAGGTCTCGTGGTTCCGTTGTTGTATAAGGTTGATAAGTTACCATCTTCTCTTAGCCTACGAAATCGTCGGGAGGTTAATTCACCCATAAATCAATATATCGGTACCCAGATCTCTCGGGCCTTGCTGCCCTCAGTGGGCGCAGCAATGAACTATAGGGACCTCCATCGGCTAGCAAATTGGACTGAAGGATTATTCAATGATACCATAAAAGCTTTGAAGAAACTCAACCAGGAGGTGTCTGCAATGAGACAGGTGGTTTTACAGAATCGTTATACTTTGGATGTGATTTTAGCCTCAAAAGGAGGAGTTTGTGCACTTGTTCATTCTCATTGTTGTATGTTTATTCCTGATAATAATGTCAGCATATCTGCGATGATTGATCATATGGAAACCATGGTAGCTCACAATCCGTTTGCTCCTCCGCCTTCCATTGATCCATGGGCATGGTTATATTCTTGGCTTCCGGATGGAAGTTGGCTTCGACATTTATTGATTTTAGTGATTCTTATAGTAGTTATTTGCGTTATTTTGTGTTGCTGTATACAATGTGTTCCTTCTTTAATTTCTATATGTACTGCATGGTTCTTCCGTCAGCGGCCTGCTTCTGGCCTCACAAGAGTCACCTATCGCGCTCGATATAACCGTATTGGTACTGATATATATGACTCTGATTAATAATATAAAGAAAGAGGGCATGTGGGAGCCATGAAGTCATGGCAAAGGCTTGTAGCGCCACCTGGTGCCTCGCTGACCTCGGTGACCTGCGTGTCCGTGCCTTGCAGTGTATTAAGTGCATAACCTTATATGGAGTTATGTTCCCCCTCTGGGCAGTAATTACCTTATATGGCGATGGGTGGGTAAAAGCCATGACCGGATGAGGTAACGTGAGACATTGGCAAACGGCCATGCGAGAGGGGAGAACAAAGGAGAATAAAATCGGGGGAGAAGCGGACGAAGGAGCTGCTCTTACCTTCCTGAAAATATAGCTGACTCACTGTGTCTTTATTTTATGCTAAGCACCATTTAATGACGGCTGGAAATCCGTCAGCAGCCGGTAGCCAGCGTCACACCCCCTTCACAGCGCCACCCTTCTAAGGCAGGCAGACGGGTGAGCCGACTCCCCCCGTTAATGGCACCCGGTGTGGGACAAGATTGCTCGTCCCTGAGGAGAAAAGCGCCGCCGGGTGAGGGAGAGGGAAAGAACGTGCATGCTGGCAATCCATGCGGCGATTCCCGGACCGTCCGCAGGCCAGATCTAGAAGGCAATTGCGCCTGATCCAGCCCACAGGCCTTAGTTTGCCAACCCAGATGCTTGGAGATTCAGACACCCATTAGAACAAGAGTAAACATGTTCTTCTGATTCAAAGGATTCTGCGGGAAGAAGAAACATGATCTGAATATTGAAAGAACTGCCTACAGGATTAAAGACTGTAGAGATCCAGCCAAGAACTATATCAGATCAAAACTCAGCATGGATGATAAGGAGGGGTGAAAAGAGTTCATTGTATAGATGGAGACTAAATAAGGGTTTATTTGAAAAACACTGAATTACAACATATTCTAATTATGTTAAAGTATCAAAAGATGTTAAAAAGCATTTGGAAATATGGGGCAGGATGAAACTTTCACTTTTACGAAGGATTTCAACCATAAAGAGAAATGTTTTACCTAAGATACTGTTTGTATTATAAATGATACCAATAATAAATAATACAAGCTTCTTTAACAAATGGCAAAGAGATATTTCATGATTAGTCTGGCGGGAGGGGGACACACCAAGAATACAGTATAAAATTTTGATAGATACTAAAAATAGAGGTGGCTTTGCACTGCTAGATTTTCTCCTATGAAGCAGCCTCTTTGTGTTGGTTAAAAGAATGGATATCGTTGGACAACACACACTTGCTGGATACCCAGTGGAATCTTGGTTGTTGCACGCTTTGGAAGTCGAACGTTTGGGGCTTTCAAACATCAACAACCAGGAAGTGAATGCTTCCATTTTTGAATGCAATACGTAAATAAAATTATATACAGTATTAATAAAATTATCTATATATAAAGCAATTGAAGCACTTCCCACACTCCTTCCATTCAAACTATTTATGATTTTTCAGTTTGTGGATTGTCCTTGCGAGTCCATTGATGTTTTGTAGGAACATCAGGACTGAAGCTCTACGTACGCTCCATACACGTAAGTGGTTTTCCCTCTTTGAGTTTGCTGGTGTTTGCCAAGGTTTCCACTTCTATTGAAGCTCTTTCCACACTCCATACAATTATTTGCTTGCCCCCGAGTGAGTCTGTTGATGTCGTCTAAGTTTCCTGTGTGTGAAATTAGGGTTCCACTCTGAAAGAAACTCTTTCAACTCTCCATACATTTAAATGGTTTCTCCCGTGTGAGTCCGTTGATGTCTTCTAACATTTCCAACATCCGTGAAGCCCTTTCCACACTCCTTACATTTAAATGGTTTCTCCCCTGTGTGAGTCCATTGATGTCTTCTAACATTTCCAACATCCGTGAAGCCCTTTCCACACTCCTTACATTTAAATGGTTTCTCCCCTGTGTGAGTCCATTGATGTTTTCTAAGAGTTCCACTCTGACTGAAGCTCTTTCCACACTCCATGCATTTAAATGGTTTCTCCCCAGTGTGAGTTTGATGATGTGCATTCAGGTTTGCACTCTGACTGAAGCTCGCTCCACATTCCATGCATTTAAATGGTTTCTCCCCTGTGTGAGTTTGATAATGGGTTCTCAGTGCTCTACTATCAATAAAGCTCTTTCCACATTCCATGCATTTAAATGGTTTCTCTCCAGTGTGAGTTTGGTAATGGGTTCTCAGCGCTCTACTCTCAATAAAACTCCTTCCACATTCCATGCATTTTAATGGTTTCTCCCCTGTGTGAGTCCATTGATGTCTTCTTACTGCTCCACTATAAGTGAAGCTCTTTCCACACTCCATACATTTATATGGTTTTTCCCCTGTGTGAATTCGATGGTGGACTGTAAGTGTTCCACGATCAGGGAAGTTCTTACCACAATCCATGCAATTAAATGGTTTTTCCCCTGTGTGAGTCCGTTGATGGATTCTAAGTGTTCCACTACAAGTGAAGCTTTTTCCACAATCCATACATTCAAATGGTTTTTCTCCTGTGTGAGTTTGATGATGGATACTAAGTGCTGTACCATCAATAAAGCTCTTTCCACATTCCATGCATTTAAATGGTTTCTCTCCTGTGTGAGTCCGTTGATGTTTTCTTAGCGTTTCACTGTAAGTGAAGCTCTTTCCACAATCCATACATTTATATGGTTTTTCCCCTGTGTGAGTTCGATGATGGATTCTAAGTGTTCTACTAACAGTGAAGCTCTTATCACACAGAATACATTTAAATGGTTTTTCCCCAGTGTGAGTTTTATGATGAATATTCAGTCTTCTATTCGTACTGAAACTCTTTCCACACTCCAAACATTTAAATGGTTTCTCCCCTGTGTGAATCCGTTGATGGATTCTAAGGTATCCACTCTGACTGAAGCTCTTTACACATTCCATGCATTTGAATGGTTTCTCGCCCGTGTGTGTCTGTTGATGTCTTCTAAATGTTCCACTATCAGTGAAGCTCTTTCCACACTCCATACATTTATATGGTTTTTCCCCTGTGTGGGTTCGTTGATGGTTTCTAAGGTGTCCAATCTGACTGAAGCTCTTTCCACACTCCTTACATTTATATGGTTTCTCCCCTGTGTGCGTGTGTTTATGTATACGAAGGTTTGAACTCCAAGCAAAGCTTTTTCCACACTCCGTGCATTTAAACGGTTTCTCTCCTGTGTGAGTCCGTTGATGTTTTCTAAGTGTTCCACTGTCAGTGAAGCTCTTCCCACACTCCATACTTTCAAATTGTTTCTCCTCTCTCTTTTCACATTCCATGAATTTATATGGTTTCTTTGTTATTCCCATTGGACATGGCCCTCCAGAATTTTGACTGCCTTCTCCATTGTCTTCTTTCAACAGGGAGGGGTAGGGAGAAAATCCTTTTTGTTTTCTAGGAAGAGAACAAAGGACTATTACACACGTCAATTACCTGCTCTTATTTTAACGTCTTGTACATTCTCTCCTGTCCTCCATATGTTCCAAGTTTTTAGGAAATACCAATGAAATAATGTCAAATAATGGTAATGCATTTCAGAAGCATTATCTTAGGATATGGTTGAACTGTGGGATTTACTTTTTAAATAAAGTGGTTTCTCACAGGAAAGGGAGCTGCTCTATGTTCCATGAACCTGGCCAATATTAATCAGGGTCCTAAATTCATCATGAAGTTCTTCATCCTCTGCACTATAATCCTCCACCCCCCTTGGGCCACATTTTGTCCCCTTCGACCTCTAGATCTTTATTAATCACCTGCACAGTCCCTTTGGCCTCAGGAGGTGCATAGTGACCATTTTGGGAGACCCATATATAAGTCTAGTGACAAGGCTTGGTGCTTGTGGTCGGTTGAAGGAGTGCTCAGTTGGAGAATGTTCTTGGGGTTGGACCTCCATCTCTCAGCCTTGCATTATTTAATGGAGAGAGCTGGAGATGCAGAAGGAAAGCAGCTGGAGCCTGACTGCTGGGAAGGCCAGATTGAGACACCCACCCCTATTATGATTTATAATAATTATATGCCGCCAGGTCTCGCACCTGCCTCCTGACACTGGCTTATCTTAGCGGAGATTCCCTGTCCAGGCCTCTCTCACTGTCCAGCTGAATGTAAAATAATAATAACAATAACAACAACAACAACGTGTAAAGAAGAAACCAATCTTCAAATCAGTTTCAGATTCCCTGGCTGTATTTTTCAGCCACGACTGTGACTCGGAATCTTAGCCACACTTTTTTCTAGAATATCAACTGGATCTCTTTGTAATAGGAGCCAGACAATCCCTGGGATTTCATCCAGACATTCCTTTAGTGTGGGCAGCAGCAGCGGAGGAAGGAAGGAAGAAACTTTGGGGGAAAGGATTTCCTTCAGAAGGTCTTCCCTAGGGGGCGGCAGGCTTGATATACTGCTCAGTGGGGACACCTTGGGTTTATAGTGTTAGGGTCTGGATACCAATCATAATCCCTAGGAAATTTGTCAAAAACCCTTAAGATCCAGTTCCGCCAACTCCCACGTAACACTGAGCCCTAGAGGAACCGTCTATGCTGAGTTGAGGCACCTCTGGCCCTCCAGATGTGGTTGGACTCAAAGTACCACCTGCCCAAGCAAGGGTGGCCCATGGCCAGGGAGGATGGGAGTCTTATCTGGGAGGACAAACTTTCTCCCATCTTCCCCCTCCCCTGAAAACGCTGTATACCTGTCTTTCATTTCTTCCTTCCTCCGTTATCTCCAACAGCTTCCTGATATAGTCCAACCAACTGCCCACATTCCCAAATCATCCTGCACCACTGACTTCCCGAGGCGGCTGCATTGTGTCTAGGACACTGGCAATGGGACAGCACCTTCCACTGGACGAGAGGATAGAGGGTTAAATCAGGGCTGGCCAAATGGGACTCAGCTCCGTCCCCTCCTTGCCCCCCCTGCATCTGCTGCTTGAGGGGGCTGCCTGAGTTTCCCTCACGGTGAAGCAGGCCCTGAGAACAGTCTTCTCTCCCCCCCCCAAAAAAAAAATACGGGAAACACGACAAAGAAGGCCCTGGAGTGTCACCGTGGAACAGGTTGTAAGTCCCTTTGGGCTGCCCTGCCAAGAGAAAGCGACTAATAGATTCAATAAATAAATAAAAATAACAATTGTAGTAATAATTACACAGGCTGGGGGGGGGGAACCCCACCCATTTCCATAACAATCTTGAATCCCACAGATTTAAGAGATTTGATGTAGCGGGAATAATAGAAACCTGGTGGATGGAGAGGAGGAGTTGGGCCCAGGTGTCTCTGGGGAGGAGCCCTTTAGATGCTTCTTCACAGAAACACAGGCATGAGGGAGAGACTGGAGTTGCCCAGAGCGAAGCCTCAAAGGGGGGGAATAATAAAGGGGGCTTCCTCCCTTTCCTCTTTCCCCCCATGGCTGGACTCGCTCTAACAGCCCCCAGCGCCCCCTGCAGCTCCTGATCTGGGACTTGAGGCAGGGCAAGGACTGAGCTTCAGGGGAGGAGAGGGTGGGGGGATCGGGGCTCCGCTTCAGGGATCTCTCCCTGGTCTACGCGGAGTCCTGGCAGATTCCTGGGCAGGAGGGAGAAATCAAGGCAGGCGGCCCCCCCAGTCCCTCTCTCTTTCTCCAAGATGGCTTCCCTTCCTCCCCCAGGGATGCTCCCTTCCTCCCTCCAGCCCCCCAACTTCCTCTGCCCTCCTCCCCCGCCCCAAGGGTCCCATTTGTGCCAAATTGGAGGGGAGGGGAGGGAGACAGGCTGGGGCTCTCTTGCCTCCTTTAACCCTTACATGGACTTCCTCTCTCCGATTCTCCACACAAAGGGGACCCACCAAGGCACGCCTTGGCACCCACGGGGAACCAGGATCATGGCACCCCAGGGATTCCTGCCAGGGAGAACCCGGAACTCCCAGAGAGGTGCGGGGTCTCGGTTCAACTCCCAGCCCTGGGGGGGGGGGGCTCCCATTTCCTTCTTGCACAAGCACCGGGGTTGGGTGGGGGGAAGGGCAGCTGAGCATCTCTTCTGTGTTTTGACAGAACAGACCCAACAGGAGATGGTAATGGGCTGCGAAATGCTTGGGACTGTGGGGGCTCTCAACTTTGGAGGGCCCTTGAAATATGCCTTTAAATACTATGGAATGCAGCGATGAATACGGAAAAGGGTCTGATCTGTCGAGAAGGGTGAAAAACATTATCAAGTTGGAGCTACCACGAGCAAGAGACATTGTCAAGCTGGAGTTACCACGAGTAGGAGATAAGGGAAATTACAGTTATAAATATGAAAAAGAGCTGCGGAAGGGCCATGGAAGTGACCGGAGGGCCTCGGACATAAGGTTACCGGGCTAGACTGAAGGGAATAAGGACTGACAAATCCCGGAACCAGGAGGAAGGGACGTTGGATAAAGATTGGACTTGTTTATATCTTTCTTTTTCTCTTTTTTTATTATTAGAATGTTTCATAAAGTTGATGAATGATAGAAAAATGTTGGAAGAAATTACCTGGCTTTAGTAAAGATGCTTAAAGAATTATGAAATAATATTATGATTATAAGAAGCTGGTAAGGTTAAGACTTAAGTTTTAAACTTTAAGGTTTATTTTATTATAGAAAGATAGGATTAAAATAGTCTAGGGTAATGTAATGATAGAATTTTATGAAACATGGAAAGGAAAGGATTTGCTGGGATAATTAATAACTAGGATACAAAGGAAGGGAGGAGGAGGAGGTCTAAGAAAGAAGGTAATGACAGTTAAGGGTCTGAAAATAATGAACTTGTTTTTAAATGTCTTTTTTTTTAAAAAACAACCTTGGGATTTTTGTAATTTTGTCACTTTTTTGTTCTTTATTTGAAATTTTCTTTTTTCTTTATCCTGTTCATTATCTTTTACTTTTTGTATTTTTTCTTTTTTTTTGTCATTACTCTCTTCTTTTTGTAATATTTTGAAAACTTCAATAAATATCTTTTAAAAAATAAATAAATAAAAAAGCTTACCGCCTCCTCCTCGAATGGGAAGTTACATCAGAATATGATAAAGTGGTCTCAAGACTTTGGGTATGCTATAACAATGTCCCAGTGGGAAAACCTGTGGAAGAATAGTTGGAAATTTACTATATGCTATGCCATAAAGGAAAACTTGTTAAAAATGCAACACTGGTGGTATTGAACTCCATGGAAATTAGCCAAAATGTACAAAGGAGGCAGGGGACGCGGGTGGCGCTGTGGGTTAAACCACAGAGCCTAGGACTTGCCAATCAGAAGGTCGGTGATTCGAGTCCCCATGACGGGGTGAGCTCCCGTTGCTCAGTCCCTGCTCCTGCCAAGCTAGCAGTTCAAAAGCACGTAGATAAATGTTCAAAGTGCAAGGAGATAAATAGGTACCACTCCGGCGGGAAGGTAAATGGCATTTCTGTGCACTGCTCTGGTTCGCCAGAAGCGGCTTAGTCATGCTGGCCACATGACCTGGAAGCTGTACACCGGCTCCCTTGGCCAATAAAGCGAGATGAGCGCTGCAACCCCAGAGTCGGCCACAACTGGACCTAATGGTCAGGGGTCCCTTTACATTTACTTACAAAGGAGCCAAAAGTAATTGTTGGAGATGTGGAGACCAAACAGGCTCACTGTACCATACATGGTGGCAATGTAGCAAAATAAAGAAAGTTTGGGAGGAAATCCACCTTGAACTAGAGAAAAAGTTAAGAATCTCATTTATTAGGAAACCAGAGGCATATCTGTTGGGCATTACTGATTCTGATATTCCTAAAAAATGTAAAGATCTTTTTTGTATGCAACAGTGGCAGCAAGAGTTCTTATAGCTACAAGGTGGAAGAGTGACATAATTCCTTCTAGACAAGAGTGGATACAAAAATTGACTGAATATGCTGAATTAGATAGCCTATCTGAAAAAAAATAAAAATAAACTGAGATTTGAATTTGTATCAAAATGGGTGGCCTTCAGAACATATCTTAAACAAAATTATACCATGTTAAAACCTGTAGCAGCTTTTGAGTGATCCCAGCAGTTTTTAATAACTGCTTATATAAATATAAACATTTATAGATTGTGAAAATATTAATCGAAAAAATAGTATTTTGATACGGCAGTAAATTCATGTAAAAAGAATTAAGGAATAAATGGGAGGTCGGGTATAAAAGATAATGAAATTTTTATTTTTATTGTAACATGAAATTGCAATCACTAATTTATGCCATAATTTTTATCTTATTAACAGATTGTGTTAATTTTATTTTCTTTCCTTTTCCCTCCCCTCTTAAGTTGTAACGTTTTTCGGTATTGGATTTTTGTTTTGTTTTTTGGTATGTAATAAGCATGGAAATAAACATGAGGGGAGAAACCAATTTAAAAAAAGAAAAAAAATATAGCACCCAGGAAGCGAGTTGTTGTTGGGGGTCTCTGCCCCTTTCTCCCCCCACCTATTGCCCCCTTCCCCACCCTACAGCTCTACCTTGTTGTCCTCTCTGGCCCTCCACTGCCATCGCTTTGCTATTCTATTCCGATTTCCTTTCCTGCAATACAAAGAGCTGGGGGCTCTCCAAGGACGCGCCCCCTCTGGGGACTGAAGTGTGGCTGCACACGAAAGCTCATACCAATAACAAACTTAGTTGGTCTATAAGGAAAGGGAGTTCATGATGGCTGGGAGTTTGTTAAGAGGGAGATACTAAAAGCACAACGTCAGGCAATACCAATGAGACGGAAACATGGAAGGTGCCTACAGAAGCCAGGGTGGCTATCTAAAGAACTTTTAACTGAGTTAAGATTAAAAAGGATGTGTACAAAAATGGAAAAGGGGAAACCACCAAAGAGGAATTCAAACAAATAGCCAGCACGTGTAGACACAAAGTCAGAAAAGCTAAAGCACAGAATGAACTCAGGCTTGCTAGAGAGGTTAAAAGCAACAAAAAAGGCTTTTATGGGTATGTCCGTAGCAAAAGGAAGAACAAAGAAACAGTGGGGTCACTCAGAGGAGAAGATGGTGAAATGCAAACAGGGGACACAGAAAGGGCTGAACTCCTCTATGCCTTCTTTGCCTCAGTCTTCTCCCATAAAGAAAACAATGCCCGACCTGAAGAATTTGGAGCAAATGATTCAGCAAAGGAAACACAGCCCAGAATAACTAAGGAGATAGTACAAGAATACTTGGCTAGTTTAGATGTATTCAAGTCTCCAGGGCCAGATGAACTGCATCCAAGAGTATTAAAAGAACTGGCAGATGTGATCTCAGAACCACTGGCAGTCATCTTTGAGAATTCCTGGAGAACAGGCGAAGTCCCGGCAGACTGGAGGAGGGCAAATGTTATCCCTATTTTCAAAAAGGGGAAAAGAGAGGACCCAAATAATTACCGCCCAGTCAGTCTGACATCAATACCAGGGAAGATTCTGGAGCAGATCATTAAGCAAACAGTCTGTGAGCACCTAGAAAGGAATGCTGTGATCACCAATAGTCAGCATGGATTTCTGAAAAATAAGTCATGTCAGACTAACCTGATCTCGTTTTTGACAGAATTACAAGCCTGGTAGATGAAGGGAACGCAGTGGATGTAGCCTACCTTGATTTCAGCAAGGCATTTGACAAGGTGCCCCATGATATTCTTGTAAAGAAGCTGGTAAAATGCGGTCTTGACTATGCTAACACTCAGTGGATTTGCAACTGGCTGACTGACCGAACCCAAAGGGTGCTCATCAATGGTTCCTCTTCATCCTGGAGAAGAGTGACTAGTGGGGTGCCACAGGGTTCTGTCTTGGGCCCGGTCTTAGTCAACATCTTTATCAACGACTTGGATGATGGACTCAAGGGCATCCTGATCAAATTTGCAGATGACACCAAATTGGGAGGGGTGGCTAACACCCCAGAGGACAGGATCACACTTCAAAACGACCTTGACAGATTAGAGAACTGGGCCAAAACAAACAAGATGAATTTTAACAGGGAGAAATGTAAAGTATTGCACTTGGGCAAAAAAATGAGAGGCACAAATACAAGATGGGGGACACCTGGCTTGAGAGCAGTACATGTGAAAAGGATCTAGGAGTCTTGGTTGACCACAAACTTGACATGAGCCAACAGTGTGACGCGGCAGCTAAAAAGCCAATGCAATTCTGGGCTGCATCAATAGAAGTATAGCATCTAGATCAAGGGAAGTAATAGTGCCACTGTATTCTGCTCTGGTCAGACCTCACCTGGAGTACTGTGTCCAGTTCTGGGCACCACAGTTCAAGAAGGACACTGACAAACTGGAACGTGTCCAGAGGAGGGCAACCAAAATGGTCAAAGGCCTGGAAATGATGCCTTATGAGGAACGGCTAAGGGAGCTGGGCATGTTTAGCCTGGAGAAGAGGAGGTTAAGGGGTGATATGATAGCCATGTTCAAATATATAAAAGGATGTCACATAGAGGAGGGAGAAAGGTTGTTTTCTGCTGCTCCAGAGAAGCGGACACGGAGCAATGGATCCAAACTACAAGAAAGAAGATTCCACCTAAACATTAGGAAGAACTTCCTGACAGTAAGAGCTGTTCGACAGTGGAATTTGCTGCCAAGGAGTGTGGTGGAGTCTCCTTCTTTGGAGGTCTTTAAGCAGAGGCTTGACAACCATATGTCAGGAGTGCTCTGATGGTGTTTCCTGCTTGGCAGGGGGTTGGACTCGATGGCCCTTGTGGTCTCTTCCAACTCTATGATTCTATGATTCTATAAGGTGCTACTGGAAGGAATTCTTTTTTATTTTGTTTTGATTATATCTTACATTATGCTTACTGTTGTGAGACCCTACCTTCATGTCTATACATGAAAGATTTAAACTTTGACCGAAACTCCATCTATATTCTTCACATTTACATGACTTCTCCTATGTCTGAGCTTGTTGATGTCTCCTCAGGTTTCCACTTCTACTGAAGTTCTTTCCACACGCCATCCATTTAAACGGTTTCTCTCGTGTGTGGGTCCCTTGATGCATATCAAGCTCTGTATTCTGCCTGAAGCTCTTTATTTGTACATTTAAAAGGATTCTCCCATGTCAGTTCCTTGATGTTTTCTAAGGCTTGGTGCATGCGGTCAGCTGAAGGAGTGCTCAGGTAGGAAAATGTTCTTGGATCTAGACCTCCATCTATCAACATTGTTGGGGTGAGTGAGTGTTCATTCTTTCCAGAACCAACTGATAGTTTTTGAAAGCTCCAGAACACATTTTAGGTTTATCTGGCAGGAAAGAAACCAAGAATTAAATGTAAAATTATAATGGATACTTAGGAGAGAGGTGGATTCTGACTGCCAGATTTATGTTTGTACGATGAGGCCTCTGCCGGCTTAAGAAGTGTGTGACAGTGAAAGACACTAAGCTACTGGATTTAGAAGGTCATGAGAACACCTTTGGTCGGCATGTTTATTCATGGTATCAAAAAACTAAAACACACAAGAGCTTTGTGAATTATGTTATTAGGAAAAACAAATTTAGAGTATGGGATAAATATAAGTATCTGCTGGAATGAAATACACCTTTTGGGTTTTCACCCACAGAAGCAATAGCTTTTAAAGGATGCAATATGGAAGAACAACGGGCAACTTACAAAGATCTTTTGGACTTTCCAGAAGAAAAAAGAAAACTGAATAAACAGGGTGAGGTGGGAGGTACAGCAGTGGATGGGTTACAATGCCATCAAATTATCTTTTTTATACAAGATAAAAGGAGAGGTTTTGTGACTCAAAGTTTGCACACTGAAAGAGATATCATTGAGAGTAAAGAGAAAGTGATTTCCAAAATGTAAGAGATACTATTGGAATGGGAAATAAAAGACAAACTGGTAAAATCAGCAGTGATACACTAGGCCAGAAATATAGGTCATAATTAGAGCTGGGCGATATATCGTCCAAGACTGCCTTGAAGTTAACATTGTGGTAACTGTTTCCTAATATTTGAGCCGACAATATATTGCGAAACACAATGGGTGTAAGGACTAGGCGATATCTGGTTTCCAACATCGTGGTCTCACCAGCTAAACATTGCAATGTTATAACCATCTAAACCTCACAATATCACCTGGTGAACATCATGTTACCAGATAATGGCCATGGGCCAATATCACTCCTGCAGAGATTGTCCCTGGGCCTGACCAATGCAGCGCGACGCTGGAAAACGCGTTTGTGCATGTCCGCAGCGACAGAAATAGCTTCTGCACAGGCGCAGAAGTGATTTTCAGCATCTGGACATGCACAGAAGCAATTTCCAGTATCTGTGCATGCGCAAACGCGATTTCCAGCGCCGCTCGGCAAGTCCCCGGGGTGCGCTGCACCGGTTTAGCGCAGCGCACAGGGCGGTTTGGTCCGCGGGCAGCTCGTGGGCCAGTAAAATGGTCTTCGTGGGCCATACGTTGCCGACCCCTGGGCTAAACATTGCAATCTACCACAATGTCTGAAATAACGATGGAACTTTACAGAGGTAAATAGGACAATGTCCTGGCAGCTGCTACTACTTAGGCATCTAAAACGGATAAATGACAATATTATCAATAATCATCTCACCAGGACTTTTGGTTTTGCACTTGGCTACCAAATGATGGAAAAGGGACGCGGGTGGCGCTGTGGGTAAAACCTCAACGCCTAGGACTTGCCGATCGCATGGTTGGCGGTTCGAATCCCCGCGGCGGGGTGAGCTCCCTTCGTTCGGTCCCAGCTCCTGCCCACCTAGCAGTTCGAAAGCACAATTAAGTGCAAGTAGATAAATAGGGACTGCTTACGAGCGGGAAGGTAAACGGCGTTTACGTGTGCGCTGCGCTGGCTCAACAGAGCAGCTTTGTCACGCTGGCCACGTGACCTGGAAGTGTCTGCGGACAGCGCTGGCTCCCGGCCTCTAGAGTGAGATGAGCGCACAACCCTAGAGTCTGTCAAGACTGGCCTGTACGGGCAGGGGTACCTTTACCTATACCTTTTACCAAATGGTGGTATTCAGGGCAATCCAAAGTATGACAATGAGTCATACTGAATACAGATGATCTGGGACAGCCAACACCCTCAGCAGGGAGGCTGGGTGATGGGGGGGGTCAGGGGTGCTGGAAGGGGAGGGGTCTCTGTCGAGGCTCCTCCCCCTTCCTTTAACCCTTCCCTGGACTCCCTCTCTCCCTTTCCCCAGCCAGGCGCCCCACGACCCCAGGGAGAATGGGGGGCCTCAGCCCCACCCCCAGCCCTGCTTGGGGTCCTCCTTCCCCTTCCCGCCAAGGCCTCCAGGGGGGGCAGGGCAGCTGAGCATCTCTCGGCCCCCCAGGAAAGAGAAAGGGAGTCTGGCGGTGCTGCTGCTGCCCAGGAGATCTTGCAAGGCCAGCCCTGCAGGTGTTGGGTCCCCCCTTCCCACCTGGGTCGCCTGGATCGGGGCCCCTGTCGACGGGCCCCAGGGAGGGCGCTTTCCTTGGGGGGGTCTCTTTGTCCTCCCCCCTTATCCCCCCCTCTATTTCCCCCCCTTCTCTCCCTCTTTACCTCTTGGTCCTCCGCCTCCCTGGCTCCAGATTACTCCGCTTTCCTTGTCTGCAATAGAAAGGGCTGGGGGGGGGGGTTTCTCCACTGACGCCCCTCCTCCCCTTTCCTGGAAACTTCCGGCGCATTTCGCAGCGACACTTCCGGTTCCCTTTGGGATGCGCTTGCCCCTAGAGCTACGTCCGCAGAGCAGCCCCTCCATGTGTCGAAATGGGGCCTTGTTTTAAAAAAAAAGCACAATTTTGGGGTTGTCCTGGTTTTTACATTTATAGCTCAGTCGGTAGAGCATGAGACTCTGAATCTGTGGGTAGTGGGTTTGAGCCCCACGTTGGGCAAAATATTCCTGCATTGCAGGGGGCTGGACTAGATGACCCTCGTGGTCCCTTCCAACTCTGCAATTCTAGGATTCTACCATGTGTAGAGGAAAGATCGCCCTCTTGTGGGCAGTGGAGGAATGATGTAATGTTGGTTGGTGGGAACTGTTCTTGAGTGTTGCCTTGTCACACACATGCAACACCACAACAGTCCTGTGAAAGGAAGGGGGAGCATTTCTGCAGGCTGATGTCCATCCATCCAGCTGCCCAGGCCCCAGCACCTCCCCCTAACAGAGAAGGGTCCCAGTCTGGAAATCCTCCCTTCCTGCTGGAGATGAGGCAGTGAGGGACTCCAGACAGACAGAGGCGTCCTTGCTCTGGAATTCCCTTGCCAGCAGGGAGACTTCAAAAGCCCCCCCCCCAAATGCCTCCCCCTTCCCTCATTTACTATGGAGACTTTTCATCTTGTGGTTTGGTCATTTCAAATCCAGTTTTTCTCTCTCCCTGCAATTTTAATACTGTTGTTGGTTTCCTTGTTTAAATTATTCTGTTTACTAGTGATATTTCACATAGCGTTTGTGAATGCAAAGCAATTGTGGCTCTTGGGTAGAAATCTGTGATCCAGACATGGCCTAGTCAATCACACCTTGTTTCAACATCCATCTAACACAAGGAAAAGAAAATCCCCCCATCATTTAGCCCGGACACTGAGGTCCACTTCCGAGGGTCTTCTGGCAGTTCCCTCATAATTACAGGGAACCAGGCAGAGGGCCTGCTTGGTAGTGGCGCCCTCCCTGTGGAACACACGCCCCCATAATAATTTACTATTATTATTATTATTATTATCATCATCATCAGCTGTCAAAGAGAGAAAGTAACTTTTGGAAGACCTCTGAAGGCCTTCAGGGAAGTTCTTTTTTTGACATTTTACATGTTCCTTTGTCATAGAACCATTGGTTCTGGCAGGGTTCCAGTTCATGGTCAACAAGATTAAACAGATGCACGTTGGGCTGATGAGGAGGAGGTGAGGGACCAGGAGTGAGACCTTGGGGTCATGTTAGGTAACTCTGGGAAATTGTTGACCCTGTGTGCACTGGCTCGGGAAACTGCAAATCTCACGCTGGGGATGTTTAGGGAACCGATTGAAAATACACCTGCCACTCTCCTAATGGTTGTAGTGCAGATCTTGTTGGCATGCAGAGGGTCGCAAGGCCAGCTGGCTAGCCCCAGGTGGGTCATCTCCTTCCAGCCGTCCCGCTGCGAAGACCCATCAGCCTCTGCTCCGATGTAAATCAGCGACCCAGGCTTCAAAGCCAGGGCACACTATATCAGCAGAGCGAACTGCGGACACAGAATAGGCGTGAGGCTTGTGGAAGCATACTACAACTACGGATTTATTAATCATAAATCAGGACAAAGAAACATTTCGTCTCTCTCTTTGTATTCTCAGAGAGACAGAGAAAAGCAAAAGCTATACACACAACGGAAGTTCCCAGCATACTGTGCTGGAATGTAAACCGACATGTGACACATACCAAACCGATATCTGCTCCTTAAGGAGGAATGGAAATTATTTATGGAGATCTATGGTGTGAACACATTTGGAGTACTGTGCACAGTTCAGTATCTGGGACCTTTCAGTTTGGAGAGAAGACGAGGAAGGAAGGACATGTCAGATAGAATGGAGAAAGAGGATAGAGAAAAGCCCCACCCCCCAAATAAAAATAGAACTCATGGAATCCAGTGAAGCAGGAATGGTGGAAGATTTAGGAGAGCGAAAAGAAGGGTCTCCCCCCTTCTCTGCATCCAGCCAGTCCATGATGGCAACAGCAACAATAAGATAATTACATCAATAGTATGCATTGTGCTCTGCTGGCAGGAGGACTCCCTCGGATCATGTCCAGTTGCAAAAGTGCAAGGAGGCTTTCCACCCTCAGGGCCTAGAGGTGGATCGTGCCTTGAGGCAGCTGGTGGAATTGGAGGAAGCTGACCCTTAGCACTCTGGGTTTGGGACCTACCGGAACCTCCTTCCACATTATACTCATCCATATTGTTTCTCGCCTGCGTCATTTTGGGGATAGCATTCTACACACACTTGCATCACCGTGTGCCCCCCTCCCAACATTGCTCTGAGATGCTCTGGTACGGCCCCTTCTTCCCTGTGCCCCCTTCCCTCCTCATGCAAGACGTGCAGCTGGGAACAGAGCCTTTCCCGGTTATGCCAGGGAATGCCCCTTTTATTTCTCCTACCACCAAATATATCTATACACATTATATCTGACATAATGTATCTATAAATCAAAAGAATAGATCAGGGTTTCAAGATTACCTCCGGCATATAAGTAGGTGCTTTCAATCTTTCTGTGTCTTCATGGTTCCGCTATTGCAATTATAACAATGGGACTTAGGCTGCTGTTCCTATAATATTAGTCTAACTCTGCTTCCAAAGCAACACCACCAGTCTCAGCTCCACTTTGAGCAACTCTCCATTCCCAGATACAAACATTTCCAGCTCCCTCCACCAAACACCAACACCAGCTCACTCTCAGTCCACCCTCATTCAGAAGCAACACTACAGATTCACATTAAATATTATATTATGCTTACTATTGTAAAATGTTACCTTCATTATTTATATACACGTCTAGACAACATTATTAATGTGAACGAAAGTATTGTTATTGATGTGAACGAAAGTATATAAACTTATATAAGGACACTTATGAGAAGAAGTGGAAGGAAATAAAAAAAGAATTAGGGACTTGGGGAAAATTGAATTTGTCCCTGTGTGGGAGAATATCCACAGTTAAAATGATGGTATTGCCAAAGATGATTTTTATGTTCCAAACAATACCTATAATTAGAGGCGTAAAGTGTTTTAAGGATTGGCCAAGTTCATTTGGCAAGGGAAAAAACCACGCATAAAATTTAAGCTACTAACAGAGTTGAAGGAAAAAGGAGGCTTCGCGGTTCCTGACCTTAAACTGTACTTTGAGGCAGCGTGCTGGACATGGATTAAGGAATGGATATTAATTAAAAACAGATCCTAGATCTGGAGGGATGGGATATTGTGTACGGGTGGCATGGCTACATAGGCTATAACAAGGTTAAATCCCACAAAGGATTTTTAAATCATATTGTGAGAAGGGCATTATATGAAGTATGGGAGAGGAGTAAAAAATCAGTAGTAACCAAAACACCATGGTGGCTGTCACCAATGGAATCTATGTCGGTCCACAGGCTGAATATGAACAGCGATTGGCTAACATATAAGGATTTAGTAGAGGAAACAAGTAGTGATCCGAAAATAAAGGACCTAGGCGAATTGAAACAGAAGGGAATAACCTGGCTGGAGTATTATCAATTAAAAGCCGCCCTTGAAAAGGATAAAAGAACCAAAGGATTTGACAAAAAAATATCCTATCTAGAGAAGGATATTTTATATAATAATCAAAAGACACTTTCTAAAATGTACAAACTATTTTTGAATTGGCAAAGAAAGGAGGAAGATATCAAAGAAATTACAGTAAAATGGGAGAGGGACCTGGGACATACGATCAAACCCAATATTTGGAATGAATTATGGACTAAAAATATAAAATTCACGGCTTGTCTCCTTATAAGGGAAAATCTTATGAAAATGTACTATAGGTGGTACCTGACCCCTGTAAAACTTGCAAAAATAAATAAATCAAATAATAATAAGTGCTGGCGATGTAAGGAACAGATAGGAACATACTACCATATGTGGTGGTCCTGTCTAGAGATACAAAGATTTTGGAATATGATTTATGAAGAGATAAAGAGATTGATAAAAACTACATTTAGAAAAAACCGGAAGAATTTTTACTAGGAATGGTTTCAGATAATATTCCCAAAAACAAAACTAGGCTATTTATGTGTGCAACGTCAGCAGCAAGGGTTACAGTGGCAAAACACTGGAAAGATAAAAATACACCCACTAAAGAGGAATGGGTAGTCAAACTGTGCGAGTACTTGGAGCTCGCAAAGCTGACAGATGCAATAAGAGATAAACCTAAAAAATTGGTGAAAGAAGAATGGGAAAGTTTAAATAATTATTTAGGGGACAAGGGCTCAGCAAGAAAGATCTGGCTATGTTTAGAATGATACCGCATAGAGAAATGTTCCCTGATACCAAGATGAGGGATTCCTTTGGAATGCAGATAAGAGTTGATAAGAATAATGATCTGTTGAGTTTGACGGAAGTGTACAATAGATGAGCTTTCCTGCTTTGGCTCATCTTCCTTTTTCTTTTTTTTCTTTTTTTCTTTTCTTTTATCTTTCCCATAGTTGCTTATGTTCTGTGTCATGTACTTCAATATTTTTTGTAGTTTTTGTAGTTTTTTTCATTACTATTAAGGAATTTTCCTTTGTAATTTTTGGCTGTTTATATTTATATGTACCTGTTTAAGCAAAATAAAAGCTATTAAAAAAAAAGAAAGTGTCAACTTGGAGAAAAACAGGTCCTACACTCTAAAAAGTGTTGCATAATAACCAAAGCAGGATGAACGCTCCTTCTATCTAAATCCTTTCTCTTCTTTGAGTTAATTGATGGCCTGAAGGTGTTTCCACTATTACAGCTCTTACCCCTCGGAGTCTTTTGATGGTTTGTAAGACTTCCACTACAACTGAACCTCTGTCCACTTCCCTAGGACTTATATTGTTGCTCCACTGTATGAGTTTGTTGATGTTTTGTAAGAACTCCACTTCGACTGAAGCTCTTTCCACACTCCATACATTTAAATGATTTCTCCCCTGTGTGACTCCGTTGATGTAGTGTTAGTCTTCCACTGTCAGTGAAGATCTTTCCACACTCCATGCATTTAAATGGTTTCTCGCCTGTGTGAGTCCGTTGATGTCTTCTAAGGTCTCCACTCTGACTGAAGCTCTTTCCACACTCCATGCATTTAAATGGTTTCTCCCCCGTGTGAGTCCGTAGATGAATTCTGAGGCTTCCACTAGTAGTATAGCTCTTTCCACACTCCATACATTTAAATGGTTTCTCCCCTGTGTGAGTCCGTTGATGTCTTCTAAGGTGTCCACTCTTACTGAAGCTCCTTCCACACTCCATGCATTGAAACGGTTTCTCCCCTGTGTGAGTCCGTTGATGGTTTCTAAGTGTTCCACTCTCAGTGAAGCTCATTCCACATTCCATGCATTTAAATGGTTTCTCCCCTGTGTGAGTCCGTTGATGTCTTCTAAGTTGCCCACTTTGACTGAAGCTCTTTCCACACTCCATACATTTAAATGGTTGCTCTCCTGTGTGACTCCGTTGATGAATTCTAAGTGTTCCACTGTCAGTGAATCTCTTTCCACACTCCATGCATTTAAATGGTTTCTCCCCTGTGTGACTCCGTTGATGAATTCTAAGGTGTCCAGTGTGACTGAAGCTCTTTCCACACTCCATACATTTAAATGGTTGCTCTCCTGTGTGACTCCGTTGATGGTTTCTAAGTGTTCCACTCTCAGTGAAGCTCTTTCCACATTCCATGCATTTAAATGGTTTCTCCCCTGTGTGAGTCCGTTGATGAACTCTAAGTTGTCCACTTTGACTGAAGCTCTTTCCACACTCCATGCATTTAAATGATTTCTCCCCTGTGTGAGTCCGTTGATGAATTCTAAGGCTTCCGCTAATAGTGAAGCTCTTTCCACACTCCATACATTTAAATGGTTTCTCCCCCGTGTGAGTCCGTAGATGAATTCTAAGGCTTCTGCTAGTAGTGAAGCTCTTTCCACACTCCATGCAATTAAATGGTTTCTCCCCTGTGTGAGTCCGTAGATGAATTCTAAGGCTTTTGCTAGTAGTGAAGCTCTTTCCACACTCCATGCAATTAAATGGTTTCTCCCCCGTGAGAGCCCGTAGATGAATTCTAAGGCTTCTGCTAGTAGTGAAGCTCTTTCCACACTCCATGCAATTAAATGATTTATCCCCTGTGTGAGTCCGTAGATGAATTCTAAGGTCTCCACTCTGACTGTAGCTCTTTCCACACTCCATACATTTAAATGGTTTCTCCCCTGTGTGAGTCCGTTGATGAATTCTAAGGCTTCCGCTAATAGTGAAGCTCTTTCCACACTCCATACATTTAAATGGTTTCTCCCCCGTGTGAGTCCGTAGATGAATTCTAAGGCTTCCGCTAGTAGTGAAGCTCTTTCCACACTCCATGCAATTAAATGGTTTCTCCCCTGAGTGAGACCACTGATGTTTTCTAAGGTTTCCATTGTCAGTGAAGCTCCTTCCACACTCCATACTTTCAAATTGTTTATGTTCTCTGTTTTCACACTCCATGTATTTAAATGGTTTCTTTGTTATTCCCATTGGACATGGCCCACCAGAATTCTGATTGCCTTCTCCATTGTCTTCTTTCAATGGGGTGGGGAGAAAATCCTATTTGTTTTCTAGGAAGAGAAAACACACATCAAGAAATATTACACACATCAATTAACACCTGCTCTTATTTTAACGTCTTGTACAATCTCTCCTGTCCTCCATATGTTCCAAATGTTTAGGAAAGGCAAATGAAATAATTTAAAATAATGGTCATGCATCATCAGCCTTTTATAGCCCTTAATTATTGTTAATGAAGCAGCATTATCTTAGAATACGGTTGAACCGTGGGGCTTTACGTTTTATAAAAAGTGGTTTCTCACAGGAAAGGGAGCTGCTCTATGTTCCATGAACTTGGCCAAGATTCATCAGGGTCCTAAGTTCATCATGAAGTTCTTCATCCGCTGCACTATAATCCTCCCCCCCTTGGGCCACATTTTGTCCCCTTCAACCTCTAGATCTTTATTCATCACCTGCACAGTCCCTTTGGCCTCAGGAGGTGCATAGTGACCATTTCTGGAGACCCATATATAAGTCTAGTGACAAGACTTGGTGCTTGTGGTCGGTTGAAGGAGTGCTCAGTTGGAGAATGTTCTTGGGGCTGGACCTCCATCTCTCAGCCTTGCATTATTTAATGGAGAGAGCTGGAGATGCAGAAGGAAAGCAGCTGGAGCCTGACTGCTGGGAAGGCCAGATTGAGACACCCACCCCAATTATGATTTATAATAATTATATGCCGCCAGGTCTCACACCCGCCTCCTGACACTGGCTTTTCTTAGCGGAGATTCCCTGTCCAGGCCTCTCTCACTGTTCTTCCTCCTTTGCCGTGGGTGGCCAAGGGCTTCTGGATATTCTAGCTCTGCTCCAACTGGGAATTATTTATTAAATTTGTATACGTCTCTTCATATGAAGATCACAAGATAAAAATATGTGTGACACTGAAAAAGGTGAGTATTAAAGGTGAGTAACACTGATTGTGGGAAAGAAAAGAAAGGAGATGAAATCAGTGGTGTGTCCACCTGAATGTAATAATAATAATAATAATAATAATAATAATAATGATAATAGTAGAATTTATAATTTCCCAAAGGGCACATCTTGAACATCATCTCTTTATGCTTTTTCTATTGACTTATGTGGATATAATGTGTAACAGGAGCTAAATGTTAATTATCTTATTGTTTATAAGCATTTTGTTTCAATTACTATTTTGTGACTACCTAATGTGAGTTCTTATACAGTGGTACCTCGGGTTACATACGCTTCAGGTTACCAACTCCGCTAACCCAGAATTAGTGCTTAAGGTTAAGAACTTTGCTTCAGGATGAGAACAGAAATCGTGCTTTGTCGGCGCAGCGGCAGCAGGAGGCCCCATTACCTAAGTTTTGCTTCTGGTTAACAACAGTTTCAGGTTAAGAACGGACTTCCAGAACAAATTAAGTACTTAACCCAAGGTACCACTGTTTCAATTACTATTTTTTGACTACATAATGTGAGTTCTTATACTTTTTAAAGTTTTTCCAAACTTCCAGCCCATGGGCCTTAGGGTGCCTATGCCTGGGATAGAGGGTTAAATCAGGGCTGGCCAAATGGGACTCAGCTCCGTCCCCTCCTTGCCCCTCCCTGCACCTCCTGCCTGAGGGGGCTGCCTCAGTCTCCCTGATGGTGGAGCAGGCCCTGAGAACAGCCTTCTCGCTGCCTTCCAAAATAGTCATACCTCGGGTTACAGATGCTTCGAGTTGTGCGTTTTCGGGTTGCGGGTTATTTCCGGGTTTCAGCGCTCGCACATGTGCAGAACCACTAAATCACGCTTTGTGCGTGTGCAGAATCACCAAATCACAACCCACACATGCGCAGACGCAGCACTGTAGTTTGTGAATGTGCCTCCCGCACGGATCCCGTTCACAACCTGAGCGTCCACTGCACAGGAAATATGACACAGAAGACCTTGGAGTCTCACAGTGGAACACAACAACAACAACAACGATTGGTAATACATCACTTTGGGCTGCCCTGGGCGGTGGCATAGGGGGTCCCCATTACAACAGCCCTGCAAAATAGACCGGAGTTGCTACGCGCTTTTGGGACTTGGAAGAGTAACTTACGGCAACCGTAAAGGGCAGTCCAGTGTCGTCCTTACGGGGGCCTCTTTTAAATAGGGGTGGTGTTTGAACTTGGGCTTTGCTAAGGTTACGGAATTGGCAGGGGGGGGCACTTGTGTGAGAGCAGGTTTCTTTGGCCGTCTCCCCCTTCCTTGGTTGCCCCTTCTGCTTTCCCATGGCAAGTCCAGCCGAATTCGGCTATGGCGTGTGGTGCATATCTCCGCCTTCAGACGGAGGGAGCCAGGCAGCTTTCCGGGTCATGTGCCCCACTTTTCATGAGCTGATATTAAATCCCAAAAGACCTACAGCTGCTTGTTACAAAGGGAGGGGGCCGATTCCGGTAGGTTAATGATATTAACTCTTTCCATGCTCATTTCTGATGCTCAGAAGCAGGTGCACCCTTTCCTATACCTTCCTGATGACATTCTCAGTCTGACACACAGTATTTACACAGAAACACGGATCAAACACAAAAAAACCTTTACATAACTCCCTTTCTAAAATACACTGAGACCATCTTATAACATATCCCCGCTATAACACACAAGTTCTAATTAAATCCTAATATTTACTATACCTAAACATTGAGCACCACAGACTAATAATAATAATAATAATAATAATAATAATAATATGTATTATTTATACCCTGCCCATCTGGCTGAGTTTCCCCAGCCACTCTGGGTGGCTCCCAATCGAGTGTTAAAAACAATACAGCATTAAATATTAAGAACTTCCCTAAACAGGGCTGCCTTCAGATGTCTTTTAAAAATGGGATAGCTGCTTAATTCCTTGACATCTGATGGGAGGGCGTTCCACAGGGCAAGCGCCACTACCCAGAAGGCCTTCTGTCTGGTTCCCTGTAACCTCACTTTTTGCAATGAGGGAACTGCCAGAAGGCCCTCGGCGCTGGATCTCAGTGTCCAGGTTGAACGATGGAGGTGGAGACGCTCCTTCAGGTATACAGGACTGAGGCCGTTTAGGGCTTGAAAGGTCAGCACCAACACTTTGAATTGTGCTCAGAAACGTACTCAAATATTCCTCTGCAGTAAGGGAGGCAAATGGAAGCCTTCCCATTGTCTTTGTGCTTACAAATACTGTCTTAAGGAGGGATGAACAGGGTGAGCCTGTGACCTGGATTCAGGAACTAAAGTATTTACCATCACAAAAGAATGGCCAGGCTGCCCAGGTAATGCAGTTAGTGACCATTAACAGGTATCCTTGAGGACAGGTTTTCTGCTGTAGACCACCTCCTGCGATCTATTCCTGCTGTAGACAGTCTCCTTCTGTATGATACTTGGGGTGGTGGTCTTGGGTGGGCAATTTCAAAAGACTATATAAGGCCTTGCACACCTCCCTGCTGGTTGCGGTGAGAGGGGGGGGCACTGTTGCAATAAAGATCAGGCTTACTAGCCGCTTTGCTTCGCCATATACACTGGTTGGCCTCTGTTATTTTCTCCTACCTACCGTATTTTTCGCTCCATAAGGCACACCTGATCATAAGGCGCACCTAGTTTCTAGAGGGGGAATTCAAGAAAAAAATATTATTTAAAGGGAGTGCTGAGCAGAGCTCCCCGGTGCCCTGCGGAGGCGTTGCGCCACTAAGGTAGAAGCTAAAACAGCTAGAGGGAGCGCTGCGCAGCGCTCTCTCTAGCTGTTCTGGCTTCTGGGGTAGCCCGCGAAGCCTCCGCAGGGCAGCAGCGAGCCTTCATCCCGGGCTTCCCCCACCAGCCCTGACAAGCTCTGGGAGTATTCCCCACCTCCCGCAAAAGCCCACAGGAGCTGGGCACCCTTTAAGGAGCGTGCGGCTCCTGCGGGAGGTGGGGTAATTCTGTAAGATTATTTGGGGAAGTTTTTCTAATGAAAAGATATTGTCACAGATGCTTGTTTTTGCCATTCTCAAAAGTGTGAATTTCTGTATCTGCAGAGATAACATGCCTTTTCTTCACAGAAAAAATGTTATAAAATAAACATACAGCGTTGAGGGAAAACCTTAATCCCATTGTTCCTTTGCAGATTTATATATACAGAATCAACCCCTTAAATTCTAAGTTCCAAGAGGTTCAATGAACAGATGGTTTGCAGTGGAAGAGATCTGCACAAGTAGCTAAGTGTGAAGCAGTAAAAATGAAAGTGCAACCTTGTGAGCAGAATACTCCACACATCTTGGGGTCTTTGTGTAATAATTGTGCAAGTCAGACTTGAGGCAAGCGCTGAAGGCTCTTCAGGGCTGGCAACCTCTTCCCAATCCCACTGGGTTCCAACAATCGCACTAACACTTAACTGTACAGAATAGGCACCTGAATGCAGAAGCCAATCCAAAGGGGTGGCTGGTAGTGGAGATGGTGAAATGCTTAAGTTCCGAGTTTTTCTTGTGCGCTAAAACTCAGTCTGCTTGGTTGTTGTTTTTGATATAAAAAAAATATTTTTACCAACATGTTATAATATTATTGTTTTAGTTAAATAAATTGTTTAAGTTGTAATTAAGGAAATGATTGTTTTTCTCCTTCCAATAAATTACAGCAGAAATGTTGTCCAAATATAGACAGTTAACTTATTAAACCTCAGAATGATTTCATAATTATCTGTCTATGTATTTCTAATAGTGTAACCAAATCAGAAATTTTTGATTTAAATAGAATCATACTGACTAGTGATTTATTGTAAATTGTGATTGAAATCAATTTGATTTATATCAAATTCACCCTGATTGCAATCTACCACAACATCTGAAATAAGGCTGGAACTATACAGAGGGGAACAGGACAATGTCCTGGCAACTGCTACTACTTAGGGGTCTAAAACGGATAAATGAAAATATTATCAATCCTCACACACTCAGTTTCATCTGCAGGGAAGCCAAGATGCATCCTAGCAGGACTTTTGGGTTTCCGCTAGGCTATAATTGGTGGTATTCAGGACAATCCAAAGTACGGAGATGAGTCGTACTGAATGCAGATGATCTGGGACAGCCAACACCCTCAGCAGGGAGGCTGGGTGATGGGGGGGTCAGGGGTGCTGGAAGGGGAGGGGTCTCTGTCGAGGCTCCTCCCCCTTCCATTAACCCTTCCCTGGACTCCCTCTCTCCCTTTCCCCAGCCAGGCGCCCCACGACCCCAGGGAGAATGGGGGGCCTCAGCCCCACCCCCAGCCCTGCTTGGGGTCCTCGTTCCCCTTCCCGCCAAGGCCTCCAGGGGGGGCAGGGCAGCTGAGCATCTCTCGGCCCCCCAGGAAAGAGAACGGGGGTCTGGCGGTGCTGCTGCTGCCCAGTAGATCTTGCAAGGCCAGCCCTGCAGCTGTTTGGTCCCACCTTCCCACCTGGGTCGCCTGGATCGGGGCCCCTGTCGACGGGCCCCAGGGAGGGCGCTTTCCTTGGGGGGGTCTCTTTCTCCTCCCCCCTTCTTATCCCCCCCTCTATTTCCCCCCCTCTCTCCCTTTTTACCTCTTGGTCCTCCGCCTCCCTGGCTCCAGATTACTCCGCTTTCCTTGTCTGCAATAGAAAGGGCTGGGGGGGGGGTTTCTCCACTGACGCCCCTCCTCCCCTTTCCTGGAAACTTCCGGCACATTTAGCTACAACACTTCCGGTTCCTTTTGGGATGCGCTTGCCCCTAGAGCTACGTCCATAGAGCAGCCTCTCCCTGTGTTGGGATGGGAAGCGGACGGGACGGCGCTGCCTCTGGGGGCTCCATGGGGGCCTGGCCCCCCTCCTTCCTCCTCCCCACAGCAGGGGGCGAGATGGCTGCGGGGGGGCATCATATCTGGGGGTGACCTGGGTTTGCGGGGAGAGAAGGACGTGGTTTTCAATCTGCAAACAGGGAGGTTGGGAGGGGAGAGGCTGAATGAGAAGGAGGGAAGGGCTGCCCCTCCCCCTGTGGGTCAGGAGAGTGGGGGAGGGGCTGAGCCAGGGGGTCCCTCCCCCCGCCCAGGTTTGCCTCGCAAGGTCCTTTGTGAAGCCCAGAGATGGACCCAGCCTGGGGGGGGGGTGGGAAGAGACATGGGGCTGCCTGAGAGAGAAGGGGCGCTTCCTTTCCTCTCCCCCCTCCTCCCCACAGGCTCTCCTGCGCCCAGAGACCCCCTTGGCCCGGCTGCCCCCTCGCCAGGCAGGGAGAGGGTGGGGTCCCCTTCCGCCATGAGAGGAGTGCAATGGGGTTGTGAGGGGGAGAGAGAGAGACCCCTTTCTGCTCCCCTCCCAAGAGGGTCCCCGTCGTGTCTCTGAGGGGCAAGAGAGGAGGAGCCCCTCCCCCCCCCCGCTGCTTCTTCCCCTCAACGACTTTTCCCAACTTCCCGCCCTTCGAAATCTGAGCCTCGCCTCAGTTTCAGGCGCCAAGGAGGCAGATTCCCCGGGCTCCCTGCTTTATTAGTGGATTTCTTCTCATTCGCCCTGATTTCTGCTCATATATCTTGCTTTTGGAGCTTCTCTAGAAAGAAGGCTGTATAAAAAGCCCCTCACCACTGCCTGCATCCCATACAGTATGTAAAAGTCTGATTTCTTCCCATTTGCTGTGTATAATTCTTCCACCAGGACTGTTCTTCCTTCCTGGCAATGTCACTTCCAAACTAATAATTCTTCCCTCACTGTCCTTAAATAGCTGCTTGGGGTCTAGTTTGGGGCCTGCATAAAGAACCTCCTCTCTCTTTTCCTTTTAGCTGTAGGTATGAATTCACGGCCAAAAGCCTTATTGATACACAATTTTCCATCCGATGCCTGCTTACTCGGAAGTAAGTCCTACTCTGCTCCCATGTGCGGAGCTAGCAGTTCAGGCAGTTCTGCTGGCAGCAGGCCAAAGGACCCAGAGTGGTTTGCAACCAGGGTGCTTTCCAAATGCTGCCCTTTTTGATACGTTTCCATTTATTCTTTTGCGTGGGGACTGGCCAGATTGAAACCCCCCACCCCATTCAACAGAAAGACTAGCAAAAGATTTCAAAGGCGGAATTTCCAAAAGATGGCACTTTGTCCTGAATTTAAGACAAGTCAGTCGAAAAATCATGGGCTTTTTTGGCGTTTATTTGGGACCTTGTCTAAAAAAAAGCTCTACAGTTTTGAGGGTGTCCTGGTTTTTACTTTTTGAAATATGGCAACCCTAATTATTCTGGGCTCTGCTTGAACTGAAACTCCCTTTTAGAGCTCAGTCGGTAGAGCATGAGACTCTGAATCTATGGGTCGTGGGTTTAAGCCCCACTTTGGGCAAAATATTCCTGCATTGCAGGGGCCTGGACTAGATGACCCTCGTGGTCCCTTCCAACTCTGCAATTCTAGGATTCTACCATGTGTAGAGGAAAGATCGCCCTCTTGTGGGCAGTGGAGGAATGATGTAATGTTGGTTGGTGGGAACTGTTCTTGAGTGTTGCCTTGTCACACACATGCAACACCACAACAGTCCTGTGAAAGGAAGGGGGAGCATTTCTGCAGGCTGATGTCCATCCATCCAGCTGCCCAGGCCCCAGCACCTCCCCCTAACAGTGAAGGGTCCCAGTCTGGAAATCCTCCCTTCCTGCTGGAGATGAGGCAGTGAGGGATTCCAGACAGACAGAGGCGCCCTTGCTCTGGAATTCCCTTGCCAGCAGGGAGACTTCAAAAGCCCCCCCCCCAATGCCTCCCCCTTCCCTCATTTAGTATGGAGACTTTTCATCTTGTGGTTTGGTCATTTTAAATCCAGTTTTTCTCTCTCTCCCTGCAATTTTAATACTGTTGTTGGTTTCCTTGTTTAAATTATTCTGTTTACTAGTGATATTTCACATAGCGTTTGTGAATGCAAAGCAATTGTGGCTCTTGGGTAGAAATCTAGACATGGCCTAGTCAATCACACATTGTTTCAACATCCATCTAACACAAGGAAAAGAAAATCCCCCCATCATTTAGCCCGGACACTGAGGTCCACTTCCGAGGGTCTTCTGGCAGTTCCCTCATAGTTACAGGGAACCAGGCAGAGGGCCTTCTTGGTAGTGGCCCCCTCTCTGTGGAACACCCCCCCCATAAGAATGTATTATTATTATTGACCTTGGGGTCATGTTAGGTAACTCTGGGAAATTGCTGACCCTGTGTGCACTGGCTCGGGAAACTGCAAATCTCACGCTGGGGATGTTTAGGGAACCAATTGAAAATACACCTGCCACTCTCCTAATGGTTGTAGTGCAGATCTTGTTGGCATGCAGAGGGTCGCAAGGCCAGCTGGCTAGTCCCAGGTGGGTCATCTCCTTCCAGCCGTCCCGCTGCGAAGACCCATCAGCCTCTGCTCCGATGTAAATCAGCGACCCAGGCTTCAAAGCCAGGGCACATTATATCAGCAGAGCGAACTGCGGACACAGAATAGGCGGGAGGCTTGTGGAAGCATACTACAACTACGGATTTATTAATCATAAATCAGGACAAAGAAACATTTCGTCTCTCTCTTTGTATTCTCAGAGAGACAGAGAAAAGCAAAAGCTATACACACAACGGAAATTCCCAGCATACTGTGCTGGAATGTAAACCGACACGTACCAATCTCATATCTGCTCCTTAAGGAGGAATGGAAATTATTTATGGAGATCTATGGTGTGAACACATTTGGAGTACTGTGCACAGTTCAGTATCTGGGAGAGAAGACGAGGAAGGACATGTCAGATAGAATGGAGAAAGAGGATAGAGAAAAGCCCCCCCCCCCCAAATAAAAATAGAACTCATGGAATCCAGTGAAGCAGGAATGGTGGAAGATTTAGGAGAGCGAAAAGAAGGGTCTCCCCCCCTTCTCTGCATCCAGCCAGTCCATGATGGCAACAGCAACAATAAGATAATTACATCAATAGTATGCATTGCTCTGCTGGCAGGAGGACTCCCTCGGATCATGTCCAGTTGCAAAAGTGCAAGGAGGCTTTCCACCCTCAGGGCCCAGAGGTGGATCGTGCCTTGGGGCAGCTGGTGGAATTGGAGGAAGCTGACCCTTAGCACTCTGGGTTTGGGACCTACCGGAACCTCCTTCCACATTATACTCATCCATATTGTTTCTCGCCTGCGTCATTTTGGGGATAGCATTCTACACACACTTGCATCACCGTGTGCCCCCCTCCCAACATTGCTCTGAGATGCTCTGGTACGGCCCCTTCTTCCCTGTGCCCCCTTCCCTCCTCATGCAAGATGTGCAGCTGGGAACAGAGCCTTTCCCGGTTCTGCCAGGGAATGGCCCTTTTATTTCTCCTGCCACCAAATATATCTATACACATTATATCTGACATAATGCATCTATAAATCAAAAGAATAGATCAGGGTTTCAAGATTACCTTCGGCATATAAGTAGGTGCTTTCAATCTTTCTGTGTCTTCATGGTTCCACTATTGCAATTATAACAATGGGACTTAGGCTGCTGTTCCTATAATATTAGTCTAACTCTGCTTCCAAAGCAACACCACCAGTCTCAGCTCCACTTTGAGCAACTCTCCATTCCCAGATACAAACATTTCCAGCTCCCTCCACCAAACACCAACACCAGCTCACTCTCAGTCCACCCTCATTCAGAAGCAACACTACAGATTCACATTAAATATTATATTATGCTTACTATTGTGAAATTCTACCTTCATTACTTTAAATAAACGTCTAGACCACGTTACAAACAACAGAAGCTCACATACGCTGCATGCAATTCAGATTGATTTCTTGTTACTGATGTGAAAGAAAGTGTCGACTTGGAGAGAAAAAGGTTCTACACTCTATAAACCATTTCTCTTCTTTGAGTTAATTCATGGCCTGTAGGTGTTACCGCTCTTAGAGCTCTTACCCCTCAGAGTCTTTTGATGGTTTATAATACTTCCACTACAACTGAACCTCTGTCCACTTCCCTGGGACTTATATTGTTACTCCCCCTGTATGAGTTTGTTGATGTTTAGTAAGAACTCCACTTGTACTGAAGCTCCTTCCACACTCCAAGCATTGAAATGGTTTCTCCGTTCTGTGAGTCCATTGATGGTATCTAAGGTGTCCACTCTGACTAAAGCTCTTTCCACACTCCATACATTTAAATGGTTTCTCCCCCGTGTGAATCAGATGATGGTTTCTAAGGTGTCCACTCTCAGTGAAGCTCTTTCCACACTCCATACATTTAAATGGTTTCTCCCCCGTGTGAATAAGATGATGGTTTGTAAGGTGGCCACTCCGACTGAAGCTCTTTCCACACTCCATGCATTTAAATGGTTTCTCTCCCGTGTGAATATGATGATGGTTTGTAAGGAGTCCACTCCGACTGAAGCTCTTTCCACACTCCATGCATTGAAATGGTTTCTCACCTGTATGAGTCCGTTGATGAATTCTAAGTGTTCCACTATCAGTGAAGCTCTTCCCACACTCCATGCATTGAAATGGTTTTTCACCTGTATGAGTCCGTTGATGAATTCTAAGTGTTCCACTATCAGTGAAGCTCTTCCCACACTCCATGCATTTAAATGGTTTCTCCCCTGTATGGGTCCGTTGATGTTTTCTTAGTGTTCCACTGTTAATGAAGCTCTTACCACAGTCCATGCATTTAAATGGTTTCTCCCCCGTGTGAGTCCGTTGATGAATTCTAAGGGTTCCATTGTGACGGAAGCTCTCTCCACATTCCATGCATTTAAATGGTTTCTCCCCTGTGTGTGTCCGCTGATGAATTCTAAGTTTTCCATTGTCACTGAAACTTTTTCCACATTCCATGCATTTAAATGGTTTCTCCCCCATGTGTGTCCGTTGATGTTTTTTTAATGTTCCACTATCAATGAAGTTCTTTCCACACTCCATGCATTTAAATGGTTTCTCCCCCGTGTGAGTCCGTTGATGTCTTCTAAATTTTCCACTGTCACTGAAGCTCTTTCCACATTCCATGCATTTAAATGGTTTCTCCCCCGTGTGAGTGCGTTGATGAATTCTAAGGTTTCCACTATCAATGAAGTTCTTTCCACAGTCCATACATTTAAATGGTTTCTCCCCAGTGTGAGTGCGTTGATGAATTATAAGTTTTCCACTTCCAGTGAAGCTCTTTCCACATTCCATGCATTTAAATGGTTTCTCCCCAGTGTGAATCCATTGATGAATTCTAAGTTTTCCACTCTCAGTGAAGCTCTTCCCACACTCCATGCATTTAAATGGTTTCTCCTCCTTGTGAATCCATTGATGTCTTCTTAGCGTTCCACTATAAGTGAAGCTCTTTCCGCACTCCATACATTTAAATGGTTTCTCACCCGTGTGAGTCCGTTGATGTTTTCTTAGTGTTCCACTGTCAATGTAGCTCCTTCCACACTCCATACATTTAAATGGTTTCCCCCCCACGTGAGTCTGTTGATGACTTCTGAGTACTCGATTATCAGTGAAGCTTTTTCCGCACTCCATACATTTAAAAAGTTTTCCCCCTGTGTGAGTCCGTTTATGTTTTCTTAGTGCTCCCTTATAAGTGAAGCTCTTCCCACACTCCTCACATTTAAATGGTTTCCCCCCGTGTGAATTCGATGATGGATTCGAAGTGTTCCTCTATCAATGAAGCTCTTTCCACACTCCATGCATTTAAATGGTTTCTCCCCTGTGTGAGTCTGTTGATGTTTTCTTGGTGTTCCACTGCTACTGAAGCTCTTCCCACACTCCATACTTTCAAATTATTTCTCCACTCTCCTTTCACACTCCATACATTTGAATGGTTTCTTTGTTAATCCTATTGGACATCGCCCACCAGAATTCTGATTGCCTTCTCCATTGTCTTCTTTCGATGGGGTAGGGAGAAAATCCTATTTGTTTTCTAGGAAGAGAACAAAGGAATATTACACACATGAATTACAGCCTCCACTTATTTTAACATCTTGTACATTCTCTCCTGTCCTCCATATGTTCCAAATTTTTTGGAAATGCAAATGAAATAATGTCAAATAATAGTAATGCATCATCAACATTTCATAACCCTTAATTATAGTTAATGAAGCAGCATTATCTCAGAATACGGTAGACTTTTGGGGTTTACTTTTTACATAAAGTGGTTTCTTACAGGAAAGGGAGCTGCTCTATGTCCATGAACCTGGCCAATATTCATCAGGGTCCTAAGTTCACCATGAAGTTCTTCATCCTCTGCACAATAATCTGTTGGGTGTAGTGAAGGGTTAACCTTCTGTGCCTCGAACCTGAGAGGAGGAGACAACAAGGGAAGTAAGCCAGGACATGAGGAAAGCAGCTTGGAATGCTGTGTACTGAGTGGAAATCGAAAGCATTCTGTTATGACGCTGCAAGCAGAGAGAGAAGATGCAGCTTATCATGGATGGCTATTGGAGTTTGTAAATACGCTATTTTGTTCCAAAGAGATATTAGGACCGAAGAAACGTTTGGGACTGATTTACTGCTCTTTCAACACACGACCGCTGTGCAACTTTGCTAATTGCTAATTGCTTTACGACCTGCAGAGGCTCGCAGGGGAAGTGTGGCTGGGCGCCAAACAATAAAGCAATAAAACTATCGAACATAATCCTCCACCCCTTGGGCCACATTTTGTCCCCTTCAACCTCTAGATCTTTATTCATCACCTGCACAGTCCCTTTGGCCTCAGGAGGTGCATAGTGACCATTTCTGGAGACTCATATATAAGTCTAGTGACAAGGCTTGGTGCTTGTGGTCGGTTGAAGGAGTGCTCAGTTGGAGAATGTTCTTGGGGTTGGACCTCCATCTCTCAGCCTTGCATTATGGAATGGAGAGAGCTGGAGATGCAGAAGGAAAGCAGCTGGAGCCTGACTGCTGGGAAGGCCAGATTGAGACACCCACCCCTATTATGATTTATAATAATTATATGCCGCCATGTCTCGCACCCGCCTCCTGACACTGGCTTATCTTAGTGGAGATTCCCTGTCCAGGCCTCTCTCACTGTTCTTCCTCCTTTGCCCTGGGTGGCCAAGGGCTTCTGGACATTCTAGCTCTGCTCCAACTGGGAATTATTTATTAAATTGTTATACCTCTCTTCATCTGAAGATCAGAAGATTAAAATATGTGTAACACTGAAAAAGGTGAGTATTAAAGGTGAATAACACTGATTGTGGGAAAGAAAAGAAAGAAGATGAAACCAGTGGTGTGTCCACCTGAATAGAAGAAACCAATCTTCAAATCAGTTTCATATTCCCTGGCTGTATTTCTCAGCCACGATTGTGACTCGGAATCTTAGCCACACTTTATTCTAGAATATCAGGTGGATCTCTTTGTAATAGGAGCCAGACATCCCTGGGATTTCATTTAGTGTGGGCAGCAGCAGCGGAGGAAGGAAGAAATTCACTTTGGGGGCAAACCATTTCCTTCTGAAGGTCTTCCCCAGCGGCCAGCAGGGTTGATAAACTGCTCAGTGGGGACACCTTGGCTTTATAGTGTTAGGGTCTGGATACCAATCATAATCCCTGAAGAAATATCTCAAGAACCCTTAAGATCCAGTTCCACCAACTCGCAAGTAACACTGAGCCCTAGAGGAACCTTCTATGCTGAGTTGAGGCATCTCTGGCCCTCCAGATGTGGTTGGACCCATGGCCTGGGAGTATGGGAGTCTTATCTGGTGGGACAAACTTTTCCCTTCTTCCCCCTCCCCTGAAAACGCTTTCATTTCTCCTTCCTCCGTGATCTCCAACATCTTCCTGATACAGTCCAACCAACTGCCCACATTCCCAAATCATCCTGCACCACTGACTTCCCGAGGCGGCTGCATTGTGTCTAGGACACTGGCAATGGGACAGCACCTTCCACTGGACGAGAGGATAGAGGGTTAAATCAGGCCTGGCCAAATGGGACTCCGCTCCCTCCCCTCCTTGCCCCCCCTGCATCTGCTGCTTGAGGGGGCTGCCTCAGTTTCCCTTATGGTGGAGCAGGCCCTGAGAACAGCCTTCTCTCTGCCCCCAAAATACAGGAAACACGACAAAGAAGGACTTGGAGTGTCACCGTGGAACATAACAACAACAACAGGTTGTAAGTCACTTTGGGCTGCCCTGGGCAAGAGAAAGAGACTAATAGGTTCAATAAAAATAAAGGCGGGGGGGGGGGACACAGGAATCCACCCATTTACATAGCAATCTTCCCAATCTCTTAAATTCCACAGATTTAAGTGAACTGATATAGTGGGAATACTGGACACCTGGTGGATGGAGAGGAGGAGTTGGGCCCAGGTGTCTCTGGGGAGGAGCCCTTTAGATGCTTCTGCACAGAAACACAGGCATGAGGGAGAGACTGGAGTTGCCCAGAGCGAAGCCTCAAAGGGGGGGAATAATAAAGGGGGCTTCCTCCCTTTCCTCTTTCCCCCCATGGCTGGACTCGCTCTAACAGCCCCCAGCGCCCCCTGCAGCTCCTGATCTGGGACTTTAGGCAGGGCAAGGACTGAGCTTCAGGGGAGGAGAGGGTGGGGGGATCGGGGCTCCGCTTCAGGGATCTCTCCCTGGTCTACGCGGAGTCCTGGGAGATTCCTGGGCAGGAGGGAGAAGTCAAGGCAGGCGGCCCCCCAGTCCCTCTCTCTTTCTCCAAGATGGCTTCCCTTCCTCCCCAGGGATGCTCCCTTCCTCCCTCCACCTCCGAGGGTCCCCTTTCCCCAGAGGCCCCCCTGGCCGGCTCAGCCTTCCTGCCAAATCTCTCCCCATCCCAGGAAGGAGACGGGGGGTCTCCCTCCAGGCCTCTCTCGCCCCCATTAACCCTTCCATGGACTCCCCACCAAGCCAGGATCGCGGCGCCCCAGGGATTCCTGCCAGGGGGAAGCCGGAACTCGCAGAGGGGCCTGGGTTCAAGTCCCAGCCCTGGGGGGGGGGGGCTCCCATTTTTATTGCCTCAAAGGCGCCCAAGGGGGGGGGCAGGGGAGTTGAGCATCTCTTGACAGCTGAGCATCTCCTTGCGTTGCAAAGGAGATCTTGCAATGCAAACCCTGCCGGTGCTCCCTCTGCAGAAAGCCCCCCCCCCGCCGCATTTCCCATAGTAAATGGTGGGAAGTCTGATCTCGGGGGGGGGGGGGCGTGCAATGCAATCCCTGCGAATGGAGGGGCCCCGATCTTCAGCCGGATTGCATGCATCGGGGCCTCTGCTGATAGCGCCCAAGACGTGAGTTGTTGTTGGGGGGGGTCTCTGCCCCCTTCCCCCCCCCGCCCTTCGCCCCCCCCCCGCAGCTTTACCTCTTTGTCCTCTCTGTCCCTCCGCTTCCCTCGCTCGCTATTCTATTCCGATTTCCTTTCTCGGGGGGTCTCCAAGGACGCGCCCCCTCTGGGGGAGGGGCTCCTTTCCCCTCCCCTTCGGCTCGGCAATTTCCGACAGTCTTCGGCTTCCTTTCGGGGGTGGGAGCAGGCGAGGCCAGAGCGGAGGGTGGCAAATTGCGCAAGCTTCGCGCCCCGGAGTTTTCTCCAGGGAGGGGCGTCTCCTTCCCTGCCGGCAACTGAAAGCAGCTCCTTCTTCCGCATGCAAAGGAGCGGAGCCGCCCCTGATGTGCTTCCCTCCAGCGAAAGCCGCAGAACCCAGTCTACTATTGTACAGGGAGGGGGCAGGTGTAAAGTTGAAATAATAATAATAATAATAATAATTATGCCACCAATCTAGCTGGACAACTTACAGTGCACATAAAAACATCAAACATTTAAAACCTCCTGATACAGGGCTGCCTTCAGACGTCTTCTAAAAGTTGTGTAATTCTTTATCTACTTGACATCTTAGAGGTTCCCTGTAACTTTGCTTCTCACAGTGAGGGAACCACCATCAGACGCTCGGAGGCGACTCAGTGTCCGGGCTGAATGATGGGAGTGGAGACACTCCTTCAGGTTTAGGTCTTTGAAGGTCAGCACAAACACTGTGAACTGTGCTTGGAAATGCCAGTGAAGATCCTTTAGGACCAGTGTTATATGGTCCCGGCAGCTGCCCCTTGTCTCCAGTTTAGCTGCCCCAGTCTGGATTAATTGTTGCTTCTGGGTCACCTTCAAAGGTAGCCCCACGGAGAGCACATTGCAGTAGTCCAAGCGGGAGATGACCAGAGCATGCAGCACTCTGGGCAGACAGTCTGCGGGCAGGGAGGATCTCAGCCTGCGTACCAGATGGAGTTGGTAACAGCTGGGTGTGATTATGGTGGAATCTCCCCCCCCGGGGGGGGGGGGTTTAACAGACATAAAGGAGTGGGCAGAGAGGGTCCCAGCCGGCGTACCAGATGGAGCTGGTAGACAGTGTCAGGAGCCCAGGCTGCCGTCTTGATAACACAGCATGCAAGTCATAATTAGCTAGAAGATTTATTGCAAAACAAACAATCTGTCTCAGACGCTCTATCGGAGCTTCCGTTTCTTTTGATTCAGTTGACCCTTCTGAGGAGTGCTTCCTGGATCTGCAGAATATCCTGAACCTATGGCCCTTATGTTTCTGGGTTTCTTTCCTATCTAATATCTTTCCCATTCATCTACTCCTTGATGGACAGCTGTGAGTCAAGACTGACTCCCAGGCTGCACACCTGGTCCTTCAGGGCACAGTTAGCCCATTCAGGACCAGGGAGTCCTCCACACCAGCCTGCCCCCTGTCCCCCAAAAACAGCACTTCTGTCGTGTCAGGATTCCACCTCAATCCATTAGCCGCCATCCATCCCCAACCGCCTCCGGACACTCACACAGGACCTTCACCACCTTCATTGGTTCCGATTTAAAGGAGAGGCAGAGCTGGGTATCTACATACTGATGAACACCCAGCCCCAATCCCCCCCCCCCCCCGCAATGATTTATCCCAGCCGCTTCATATAGATCAGGGGTGGCCAACTTCCGAGACACTGTGATCTACTTTCAGAATTAAAATCTGGCAATGATCTACCCCCCTTATTTGGGTTCAGGTCAAAGTTGTTGAGGAGGAAAGCCCCGTTTTTATACAAATACTTTATTGGGAGGGAAGTTCAGTTTTGGGGGGTCAGGGATAAAGGCAAGGGTCAAAGGGAAAAAGTCACTCACAATAATATCACTTTGATGAAAACAGCCACAAAGAGAAAGCTCCTTCTTCCCTTCCACTGATCAGACAACAATGGAGGGGGGGCGAGGGGGGGCAGGAGTCAGTTTCAAGGATGCTGAGGAAAAGGAGCCAGAGATCGACCCACGATCTACCAAAACCTCATTGGGATCTACCAGTAGATCGCGATCGACCCGTTGGACATCCCTGAGATAGATGTTCTCCTTGAGGGAACCAGCAAGAACCCTTGGCGGAGGACCTCAGCCTTGCGGGTGGAGACACTTCTTCTGGTCCACAGGGCCAAGGCCGTTTAGGGTTTAAAGATCAGCACCAACACTTTGAATTGTCCTCAGAAACATTTTGGAGATGTAGTGAGACTGAGGGATCGTTCTGTCATATGTGGGGGATCTGTAAGAGGGTAAAAGCGTATTGGGAAATAATTCATAATGAATTGGAAAAAAAAGTTTAAATGTACTTTTCAAAAAAACTACAACAGAGTCCTTTTTGTCGGGGATAACTCAGACGGACATTCCCAGGTGTTGGAAAAACCTATTGAAATATACTTGGAGTTGTGTAGTGATTTCATGCTCTTTATTGCAGCTCGTAAACAGTGAATGAGTTCCCCCCCCAAAAAAAACCTAAGACTCTATAAGACTCACTTTTCCCCTCCTAAAAAGTAAGGGGAAATTTGTGTGCGTCTTATGGAGCGAATGCAGGCTGCGCAGCTATCCCAGAAGCCAGAACAGCAAGAGGGATTGCTGCTTTCACTGCACAGTGATCCCTCTTGCTGTTCTGGCTTCTGAGATTCAGAATTTTTTCCCCTTGTTTTCCTCCTCCAAAAACTAGGTGCGTCTTGTGGTCTGGTGCGTCTTATAGAGCGAAAAATACGGTACATTATTTACACAATGGGTCATGCGTGATTGGCTGATTCACTTCCTCCTGGGGCATGATTGGGCTGCTCCTGCAGGCGAATCAGGTTGTTGTATTCCGGGATCCTACCTGCCTATTGTTCTAGGATCCAAGGTCAGTACATAACAGCTATTTATGTATGCCACTACTACTACTACTACTATGTTTTGTTAGCCCAAAAATGGAAAATGAGCTAAGTCGCGATTAAAGAAGAATGGCAACTTAAACTGATGGAATATGCACAGCTTGTGGACCTAACAAATAGAATAAGAGAACAAGAAGAACATACAGTGGTACCTTGGGTTACATATGCTTCAGGTTACAGACTCCGCTAACCCAGAAATAGTGCTTCAGGTTAAGAACTTTGCTTCAGGATGAGAACAGAAACCGTGCTCCGGCAGTGCGGCAGCAGCAGGAGGCCCCATTAGCTAAAGTGGTGCTTCAGGTTAAGCACAGATTCAGGTTAAGAACGGACCTCCGGAACAAATTAAGTACTTAACCCGAGGTAACACTGTACGTTTAAAGAAGTTTGGGAAATGTTTATTGAATATATGGAGGGAAATTGTGTTTATTTGAAAATGTGGGCAGCATTAACTTCTTTTTTAAAAAATATTTTTTGTTTATTGAAAGAATTTTAGCATTGTCAAACATTCAAATTACATATTATAATTTCAGTTACCACCCCTACCCCCGCGACTTCCCCCAACTTCTTTTCCTGGATTATAACATATTTATTTCTTCTGCTTATACTTTTATATACCTTATATACTAAAATTATAGTTGTATCATTTATCTGGTCTTAACATTTTTACTTCATATTTATATTTTCTATTTATGTTTGTCCATTGTAAGTGTATTACTCAAATCCTGCGAGTTCATTTCAATGCATTGTTTCTGTATGTACATTGTAAAAGGTTCCCAATCTTTTAAAAAGTCATTATTATCTTTATATTTGAGCCTCTCAGTTAACTTTGCCATTTCAGAGTATTCCATCAACTTTTCTTGCCATTGTTCTTTTGTTGGTATTTCGTCGCTTTTCCATCTTTGTGCTAGTAGAATTCTGGCCGCTGTTGTCGCATAAATAAATAATTTTTTCTTGTCTTTTGGTATATCTTTTGGTATATCTTGATTGACATCGCCTCTGTTGGGACTACCCACCAAGGAGTTTTTTGCTCTAATAAATCTTTATATTTTCCCCATACTTTTATCAATGCTTTCCTAATTATATAATTATGAAATCCTTTATGTATCTTCCATTTCTTGTACCATAAACACGCAAGTCAACCAAATCTGTTATCATGTCCCAAATCTAATAGATCAGTGTTTTCTAATTTAATCCAATCCCGGATCCAAGTTATGCAGCTTGCTCACAATACAATTTTAAATCTGGAAGAGAGAGTCCTCCTCTATCCTTAACCTCTGTTAGTATTTTATTCTCGGTTTCTTCCCTTTCTAGATAAATTTGGATATATCTTTTTGGCACTTCTTAAAGGAAACTGCATCGCTTATTACCAGTATTGTTTGGAATTAAAGCAGCATTTATCTTGACTGCTGTTATTCTTCCTAATAAGGAGAGATTCATTCTTCCCCATATTTCTTGTTGTTGTTTAGTCGTTTAGTCGTGTCTGACTCTTTGTGACCCCCTGGACCAGAGCACGCCAGGCACTCCTGTCTTCCACTGCCTCCCGCAGTTCGGTCAAACTCATGCTGGTAGCTTCGAGAACACTAGATTCCTTTTTATCTCATTCCAACATTTTTCATAATTGTCTTTGTAAATATTGATATTTCTGCTTGTGAGACAAATTCCTAAATATTTAACTTTTTTGTGGGTTTCTATTTCTGTAACTTGAGAAATGATTTTTTGTCTACTTCTTCTAAATTTTTAACTAATAATCTGGTTTTACTTTTCTTTAGTTTGAATACTGCTACTTGCCCAAACTCCTGGATTTTTTCTATAACTTTTGGAAGAGACTCTTTAGGCTCTTCTACCGTAATTACAAGATTGCCTGCATAGCCTTTCAATTTATATGATTCCTTTAATATTTTCATCTGCCCTGATATTTCTCGCTAAGTCTTCTAATACCAATATAAATAATAAAGGTGATAACGGAAGCATTAACTTCAACAGTGTAAATAAGTTTTGATGATGGACTACTGAATGGTTTAGTTCATGTAAAATATGCATTGTGCAAAGTGAACCATGGAAAGAGAGGAAGGGAAGTGTGGCCATCACATTTGATGGTCTATTGATCCCGGTGCCACCACTATGATGGCTTCCCCGCTGCCACCAACCCGTTTCTCTCAGGTACACACTGAGTCCAGACAGTTGTTAACATTAAATCAAATGAGCAAGTTTATTCTATAAGCATTAACAAGGTTATGGTTTCAGATAAATTTTCTTGTCAGTTTCTTAATCTTTGTTGCTTTACTGACCTTTACCTTCCTAATAACTTCTAAGTGATTATTCCCAACTGTCTATGTGACTCCTCCTAACTGTTTCTCTCACTCTCTCACATCAAAACTTGACCAACCCACAGACTTATCCTCCCTCTTCCTTCTCCAAGTCCCAACTAACTTCCTCACAACTCTAACTCTTCCTCTTGCCTTCCCACTGGCCAATCACTTCACACTCATTTAACCCTTTC